CGATGCAGGGTCGGTGACGGACATTGATAGTGGAGTTCTGTCGGACACTGGCTTGGTCAGGAAATCACGTGAACCCTGCAGTGTCACCACCACTGCCACCACTGCCACCACTGCCACCGCTCCCAACACACCTCAACATCAAGTATGCTGTGACACAAGCGTGCTGCCCAACATGCCACCGCCATCGCCGGAAGCAATTGTTAGTTTGTGTACATCTGCTGCTAGTACTGCGGCTTTAGCCACTGTTGAAGAACGCGGCGGCGGCAGTGCAGATCTGACACGTCAACAACCTGACACTCAGCTAGCTGGACTGGAAGCGACGAGTGAGCCAGTGCAATGCTGTCCAGAACATCCATCCCTACACTCCCCATCTCCTGCTGCAGATTCTGCAGAGTGTGGCTGTGGCGAAGAGAAGGCCATTTCATCACCTAAATGTAGTACGAGCCATGCACTAGTGACCACAAGTCCTGGAGCAGTTGAAGCGCGTACTGGTTCCATTTGTACATCAGACATGGAGCGCTCATCTGAAACGCTTGTTGATCTATCAGCAGTAACAACAGCAAGTGCGCCATCATCTTCTGCAAGTGTCTGTACAACACTTGAAGTTACATCATGTGATGGATCTGCAACTGCTTGCCAGCTGGAAGAAGCAGCTACTGATGCAAGAGCTCCGGTGTGTCTGCCTCCAAAGTCGCTCTCTGTTCTTGGTGCACAGCATCGTTTTCGACCGTTTTCTCAGGGTGTTGTGCCTGGTATTGTGCGCAACACACATGCTGCATGGACATCTCATGCATCTGCTAATACCGAGCAAGCTGCTGCTGGCCCTGGCACTGTTACCGACTGCGCAGGCATGCTTGTGAGTCCGTTTCGTCGAAGCTCCGACGACTCAGTCACAGACGAGCTCATGTTGCATTCGCCAGAAGAAAAGTTTAAGCACGACTCTCCCGAACCACTGCCCCGCTTAGATCTTGACAGCCAGTGTGCCGGTGAATCTATGGCCCGTGTATCGAGTGTCGATACGTCAACTCAAGTTGCAGAGATTCTTCAGCTTCATCCGCATGACAGTATCAAGAACATTGAGTGCATTGTGATATCGTCGGAGGAGGAGGAGGATTGTGTGTCAGGTGGTAGTGCCGGGCCATCAATGCCTGAACCAACAGTAGCATCAGCAGCCTGCAGCAATGATGCTGAGTGTGTCGTGGCATCATCCATAGACTTTTCAGCAGGGGATGTGCATTCTTCTGTTGCAAGCTGTACTCCTAGCTGTAGTACACCTCTGCCAGAGTTTAGGCAATGTGATCACTTGCCTGCTGCTGTACACTGTACACCTCTGCCAGAGTTCAGCCAGGATAGCCAGGATAGCCAGGATAGCCAGGATAGCCAGGATAGCCAGGATAGCCAGGATAGCCAGGATAGCCAGGATAGCCAGGATAGCCAGGATAGCCAGGATGATCACTTGCCTGCAGTACCCTGTGCTCTACCAGTCACACCCCAACTACCTACTATCAGTAATGTGGATAGCAGTATGTTCTCTTCTGCTACGTCCGTCACTCCTGACCACCAAATGCCTGATATCGGCAACACTCTAGTGTCGAGCTCCAGCGGTGACAAATCAGCAAGTGAAGATTTAGAGTCGCCTATTCCACCATCCGGCTGTGAAGATCACACTGCTGACCCAGAGGTGTCTGCTGCATACAGCTCTATGAATAGCTGCTCCAATCCTGCTGCTGCTGCTGCTGCTGTTGTACTGGCTGAGACTTCTAGTAACAATCTAATTAGGCAGCAGCAGCAGCAGGCCAGTGGTGACAGTGGCTGTGGTGCTAGTCCAACATCAGCCATGCTCATGGCTGCTGGTCTCATGCAGGACTTTGTTCCCTCTAGTATCGATGAGGAGCTATCTCTCACCAATGCAACTCATCATACAACAGCTACTGTGCCTGATATCTTGGATGCAGCCTTGGACATAGATTGCTTGCCTGAATTCCCATCTCCGCCTTCGCCTTCTTCACTGGATGTGCTTGTGGATAGTACCAGTGGCAGTGCATTGGACAATGCTCTCGCGATGTGTGTGCAAGAGCTGATGGAGAGCAAGATGACTACAATTGAGGCGTTGGTCATGCAGCGTGTGGATACAGCTCTCAACACTCTGCTGACTCCAGCGGACAAGCAGCAAGATACCCAGAATGTCAGCGATTCGCCATTAGCTGCTCCATCTGTTGAAGAGGGAGATACAGTGGGCGTGGTGGACATAACCTGCCGAGGGGATAGCAGTGATGATGAGCAAAAGTCTACAAATGCCACGGACAGTTTTGTGTCCTTCCCAGCACTTGATGATGAGTTTGACGTGCAGAATGCTGAGTAACCGAGTGTAAGTGAAGGCAACGTCCGACAGACGGACGGTGGATTCCAACATCTTAGCGTCTCTCTCTCTCTCTCTCTCTCTCTCTCTTTTCATCTTTCCCGTCAATTGGCGATAGCAAACTAGAGGTTGTTTGTAGGATCCACCGTGGCACTTCACACACACACACACACACACACACACACACACACACACATACACACACACACACACACACACACACACACACACACACACACACACACACACACACACTATTCTATGTGGATATGGGTGTGGATTTCGGACAACCAAACCACTGTTGTCTGCAAATATTTCTTTCTTTCTAGTTTTTGGTTTTTTTATCAACTTGTGTGTGTGTTTGTGTTTTAATCCAAACCTGTCTTTTTTTATTCTGCCAGTAGTCGTATGTTGTGAGTGAGCTGGGTGCTTTTATCTTTCTCGTTCTTGGGCGCATTCACAGGCCCTTATTTTATGCTCAACTTGAACGTGATGCTATGGTGTCATCTACCTTGTGCTTGCGCTCTTTTCTTATCGTTTTAGTGTTTGTGTGATTAGCTCCGTGTGGGATGTAGCCACTCTATTCAGCCCGTGTGCACGTAATTCTTTTTCCCATTCCTCACACTCAGTTCAGTCCAGTGTGTAATAAGGATTGTAGTTTCATGCACACCTTAGATCTTGATGACTCCAGCCAGTATCCAGCCTGTATGCATGTGTGCACGTGTGTGTGTGTGTGTGTGTGTGCGTGCGTGTGTGCGTGCGCGCGCGTGTGTGTGTGTGTGTGTGTGTGTGCCAGCTAGTTCGGTTGGTGGGAACACTTATGCCAGATAGTGTTGGGCCTGTTGCCAATGGGCTCGGCTGCTTGAAGGTGTAATGTTGTGCCTGCCACATTTGTTGGTTACAGGATTCAGCTACTTTCCATTTGAAGTATACATACCTGTTAACCATGCACTGCTTCCGGCTAGCGTAACTCTTGTGTAGTCAATGGTGCTAGTGACTTACATCAGGTCCACTCTGATTTAGCCACCCACACTAGCAGCAAGTATCACCCTCACTGGTGGCAGGGTGATACTCCCCACCCATAGTTTGGGGATTTCAGGGGGTGTCGGCCGTTGGATGGTTCAATAGCCAATTTAGTCATCTTTCCGAAATTCCTTTTGAGTCTCTCTTCCCTCTTCTGGGGAAACCCACGTGACCAGTTTTGGCAGTGAGCAATTACAACTACTGTAAGACATGTATATATAACGAAGAAGTAAATCTAACGTTTTAACGGACGACATTTCTTCGTTATAATTATTAAGATTCGTTGAGGCTGTAATGCTTCATATTATGTTGTGTGTGGGTATTCCCAAATACCTCAAGATCGTTAACATATCGTCTCGTTTAATAACCTATGAATTTTGGACAATCGTTAAATTTGCGACTTGTTATTATAACATGTCTTATAGTACAAGTGTGTGTGTGTGTGTGTGTGTATATATTATAATGTGTGTGTGTGTATGTGTGTGTGCGTGTATGTGTCTGTGTGTGTGTGTGTGTATGTGTGTGCCAGCTAGTTCGGTTGGTGGGTACACTTATGCCAGATAGTGTTGGGCCTGTTGCCAACGGACTCGGCTGCTTGAAGGTGTATTGTTGTACCTACCACCTTTGTTGGTTTCAGGGTTCATATACTTTCTATTTGAAGTATACATACCTGTTAACCATGGACAGCTTCTGGCTAGATTAACTCTTGTGTAATCAATGGTGCTAGTGAAGCTTATATCAGATCCACTCTGATTTAGCCACCCACACTAGTACCAAGTATTACCTTCACTGGGGGCAGGGGTACCTGCAGTTGGATCCCGGGACGGATACCCTGATGCCGTCAATCCTTTTTCTGCACCTTGTCCTCACCCACTTACTGAGGTGTGGTGAGCCCATAAGTGGGATCATTTCAAGTCCACCCTAGTTTGGGGATTTCAGGGGGTGTCGGCCGCTGGGTGGTTCAATGGCCAATTGAGTCATCTTTCCAAGATTCCTTTTGAGTCTCTCTCCCCTCTCCCGGGGAGACCCACGTGACCAGTTTTGGCAGTGAGCAAGTACAAGTATGTGTGTATGTGTGCATGTGTGTGTGTGTGTGTATGTGTGTGGTGTGTGTGGTGTGTGTGTGTGTGTGTGTGTGTGTGTGTGTGTGTGTGTGTGTGTGTGTGTCAGATCAAGACTACCCGGCGCTGCTGTACCTACACTTGCAACACATGAAAGACACTATGGTCGGTCCTATGGTCGGTCCTGAACGAACTACTTGGATCATGATGAACAAGTAAGGCCCTCATTCTGCATATGTGACTCACTATGAATGTGACCCAGTATGAACCAGGGAGTAGTAATATACCAGTATTTTACCACTCCCTGGTATGAATATCATCAGTACTGACTGGCAGCACTGGCCAATGCAATTTGTTTGCATGAACAAAATATGGATGGGTGCTGGCCGGTGCGGAAATGTGCTGTACATTCAAGCACAACTGGCATTGTGCATGCAAGCAACTGGCTGCCTTGAAGCACACAGACAAACAACACAACGCAATTCAAGCACGACTGGCATTGTGCATGCAAGCAACTGGCTGCCTTGAAGCACACAGACAAACAACACAACGCAATGTACACCGTATCGGCCTTCGTTGTCGGTTCAACAGTATTCAAACTGCGTGCACATGATAGGTACAGGACAGAATAGCACCTGTACGATGCTCAACGATCACAACACTGAACACCAACATGACTGACACACATCGTACTACATTTCAAAAGTAGCAGCATAAATTAAATCGAAAGAAAATTACTTCGGAGGATAGAAAGGAACAAGATCACCAGAAACTCACTCAAAGCTGCATGCCGCCTCTGATCCTGAGCACTGAATTCTCCGTCGGCTGTAGACCCAGGGCCAGTGCATCAGTGTTAGTGTTGGCAGTGTATCGCCGTATCGGGCTGTGTCAGTGCATGCAGTGCAGGCCATGACTCGGAGTACACTGTGTCAATAGTATTGCCCTGCGAATATGTACACGTGAGCCGCTAGAAATGCGCCGGAGAGATACAGTGCATGGCTGGGCACTAAGGCACTGAAGCAGCAACGCCAGCTTCTTGTAGACACAGTAGTTGTAGCCAGTTGTACAGTTGTACTCCCTCAGCGGCTTGCTACACTTACTTTCTTCTGTTCGCTACGCATATAGCATGCTAGCAGTTACTAAGCAGTACGAGTACTGCTAGCAGAAATTGTAGCCAAAAGATTCCAACGCAAACTGTACACAAAATACATTATGGGAAAAGAAACCAGCGGACTCACGCTGGACAAAACAAAAGAAGAAGAAACTGTAAAAAGTAGCCGAGTAAGCAGTGATGTAGGCGCCGGGCCTTGCCTCAACAATATTATCAATCCAAGTAAGTGTCTGGTGGAAGAGCAGAGAAATCAGCATGCTTATCCAATGCACGTTGGCCATACCCGGTCAAAAGGTGTCACTCATAGAAATAGGAGGTTCACGATCGCGATCCATTGGCGGGTGAATAAAACCACGCTAAGCCGGCAGGTCTGGTCTGCCAGCATGCATAATGTCTGCTGACAGCCCATCTCAGTTTAGAGTCTTCTATGATTGGCTATGGTCACATGTTGATGTAGATAGATGCACAATGTAGATACTGACATGCTGGCTTTAGCATAGCAGATGCTTACTACAGTCTCAACATACACATGCACTGGTAACGGTATGTCGGTCAACGGCTCACTGAGAGTGTGCTTGTAGGCACTTACAGCCATTACTGCTTCTCAGCTCCCGCAGAGTTGAGTCGGACCAGGATAGAGTTTCGGAATTTCCCTGGGCTTCTTGTGGGCTTGTTGACGGGCTTCTCAGGCTTGATTGGTGTCAGCTTGTCTCCTTTCTCCGCTTTCTGCATGTGATACTGATGACGCATGTTGCGGAATCGAGTGTGCTCGTTCTGAATTTCCTTGCAGTGTGTCGATGGAAACCAGCCGACAAATCCGTCTCTCATCCGTTCTCCTTCATACCAACCTGAGTGACACACACACACACACACACACACACACACACACACACACACACACACACACACACACACACACACACACACACACACACACACACACACACGGCCAGAGCGCCATGACAGAGAGCAACACAGCGACGTGTTATGCATGTTGTGTCATTACATCTCTGACACATCACATCCATTACCTGACCTATGGATGATCCCTGCAGGACTATCCATGGTCATGCAAGCCGCACACGCAGGACTATGCATGTCATCCACCCCCAAACACCCACAGTCATGCAAGCCCATCCACTGCATGACCATCCACTGCAAGCCCATCCACTGCATGCCCATCCAATGCATGACCATCCACTGCATGACCATCCACTGCATGTCCATCCACTGCATGTCCATCCACTGCAAGCCCATCCACTGCATGACCATCCACTGCATGACCATCCACTGCATGACCATCCACTTGCACACATTGAACAGACACTGAGAAGTCGACTCACCATCTGCCATCTTGCGCAACACCTTAATGACTTCACCGGCGGACAAGTTGAGTTCATCCGGCTGACGCGACGCATACGGGTATGTGACTTTCACCTGCGGACAATCTGAGACACATGAGGAGGTGCACCAAGAGAACAGCTGACAATCTGAGACACATGAGGAGGTGCACCAAGAGAACAGCTGCTATTGGCATGGCAATCTTATTCACTTACTCAGTATACAGGCAAAGATGTTGGGAGGAGGTACCTAACACAGTGATGGAGAGCATGCCACAAGCAGTACTCGTACAGGCTGATGATAGGACAGATGCTGATCACATTAGAGCAACACACCGATGACTGTACAATTGTGACAAGCGAAACCTGGAACTATGTGTAGTAGTGAGGTTCTGCTCTACATTACGGGAACGCCACTCGAAGAATCCCGGAAACACTCTTCGCATTCACGTTTCAAACGATTTGCGTAATCTACCAGCTTTTCCGCTGGTCTCTGGTTGCAATCGCGAAATTGAAAAGAAGAAGTCATCGTGGAACGCTCCACTCTGTAATATCCATTCAGTAGGTCACAAATCTGCTCGAAGGTCTTGTCCGATATTGACTCCGGCAGACAGAGGTTCCGCAAAGTGGAGTAGACGTCTTTCGACAGTGAAGAGATTAGATGTGCAATCATCTTCTTACGTACGCGTTCTTTCTCCGATGAGTTTGCACTGGCTGAAACAACACCGATGTCATTTGCGAGAAAAATAAAACTCAAGCCGTTCCCGGTACTCCGCAAAGTCCCCGCCAGAAAACTGCTCCAGGGTGGCCTTCCCTGAAGAGGCCATGGTTTACCAAATTCTCGCAAGCCCTCAACTAAACAAATTATCTCAAAACAAAATTTTCATCTTCGTCGCCATTTGTTGTGTATCCACGTACACCCTACATGCAGTCTCACACGCAGCTCACCAGAGTCAACCAGCCGGCATGGATACATGTAGAGTAAGACCATGATTCAGAGCATGCGCAATGAGTATATACAAATGCATACAGAGTACATAATATATTACATCAGAGTGCATATATAACAGTAACGTAAAGGGAATTTGTCCTACTCTACGTTCACGCGGAGAAATTAACTATGTGCAATGTATGCTGGGAATTTCCCCTTCCGAATTTGGCAGTTTTCTGCGTGTATTTGAATGATACCCAGCAGATCCGTCCGCATTTTCCTTGCGTGCGCCCCAACGTAGCGAACCTCATGTATGCGTATACAGTCGTCCCTCTCCAATCCAGCACTTTATAAACCAGCACCCTCGATAAACCAGCACAATTTTAAGTAGCCAAAATGTCCTCTTCATGCACATTACAGCAGTCAATCAGATTTGTTAATCCAGCACCCTCCCTAATCCAGCAGATTTTCCGTGGCACAGATGGTGCCGGATTATAGAGGGACCACTGTACATCTGGACCCAAAACACGCGAAGCTGTAGACTCTAACCAAGACACCTGCGCTCTACGTGATTTCTCTACGTTTCATGTACGTTTCTTGTATAGCAGAACCTGACTAGTGGCAACACTGAACGCCCTTCAAGTTTGATGGCCTCGTCTCTCTCTCTCTCTCTCTCTCTCTCTCTCTCTCTCTCTCTCTCTCTCTCTCTCTCTCTCTCTCTCTCTCTCTCTCTCTCTCTCTCTCTCTCTCTCTCTCTCTCTCTCTCTCTCTCTCTCTCTCTCTCTCTCTCTCTCTCTCTCTCTCTCTCCGTCCGTCCATCTTCTCTTGTACATGAGGTCATCAATCAGTTTGCACCTCCACAAGTGTACACCAGTTGTAATTTCACTTGCCACAACTGCATTAACGAAAACATGACCATACTTTGTATAGTCTCAGAAGAATAAGAAAGAGCCGTACATTGCAGCAGCCATCACAAAACAGCTGTAGAGATGATGTTCAGTTCAGTGCATGGCAAGCCTTACCCCATTCACCATAAATGGTCTCCCCATCCGTTGTGGGCTGAGGTGGATTTACAGCATTCAACCACCGGTACTTCTCGGATCTGAAGCAAAAACAACACACGTGCACACACACGCATACATACACACACGCACACATACACACGCATACATGCACGTACACACATATGCACACACCCGCACGCACGCGCGCGCGCGCACACACACACACACACATATGTATTCACATAAACACACAAACACACATACACTCAATATAATAATTATATAGGGGGTTGCCAGAATTGCGCACAAGTACATGTAAGTGAAGCAGGATGACTCAGAAAACTGATTTGGAACAGGACCACGCCTGCACGGTTTACAGTACAGTCGTGTGTCACTTATCCGGCATTCAGTCATCTGACATTCCGGTTATCCGACAGCGTGCTGGCTGCTCAAGTTTTCCAATGTGTTCCATGCAAGCCGTGTTAATACCCTGAACATTGCCTGATTGTTATAGAGTGGGTTCATATTGATGTGCAAAATTAATAAACACGAGTGCTGGATACGAAAATGCACAAAAATAAAGGTAGATGTACATGGACATGTGCGACCATGCCTAATAATCTTGTTGATGTGTGGATTGCTTGGTGATACTTAAGCTTCTGTTGTCTGGAATAGTAATGTAACGAACAATGCCCGGTTCCGAGGGTGTTGGATAATTGACACGCTACTGTACTACTTGCCTGGAACAGTTATCGCACACATTGCATCTTGTCGTTCCCGCGCAAAAACAGCATATCATTAAAGAACCTATGCTATAGGCTATGGAACATAATGAGAATGGCCGGTGTTTCGGGGTAAACAAGTTAGTTGTTTACGACAGGATTATATTCTCACTTGGCCATTGTAGGCAAATCATAAGAACGCCGACATCTAAAGGATCCTGCATGAAAGTAGGCAGCTGCGAGATGCGTATCTCGCGCATGCTCTTGCATGGCTACGTAATGCATTACATCATAATACAACATCCCCTTCGTCATAAAGGAGTTTAACAACCTACATAACATACCGTACGTATATGACGGTGTGTTCACAATATAGAACATAACATCCAACAATAGCTCTATGTACAAGGTAACAATCATGAATGGCACACGACGGCGTGCTAACAATACAGAGACATAGTATCCAACAATAGCTCTATGTACAATATAACAATGGCACCTCAGCTACTGTGACATAAGCGAACAGGTCCATGAGGCCTCTCTGGCCCTACACATCCAGGATTGACCTGGGTGCGACTGCGCGGCCAGACCGTGTTCGATACAGCTGGGTGGCAGGTTCAGCAGGCTGGCTGATGTCACACGGTGACGGCGGCTGAGACTGGCTAACGTCGCTCCACGGAGACGGCACGTCACTCGGCGGCTGAGGCTCGCCAATGTCGCTGCGCGTCGACGGCTGAGGGCCTGCGAGACTGGCATCCGGCGGGAAGTGGACCCGCCTCTCTCTGAGGTGGGTACGGTTGCGCCGCACTTCTGTCCCATGGTCAGGCTGCACCATGTATGACCGTGGGCCGTTGACAGACTGGGTTACGATACCAGGTTCCCACAGGTGCGTGGTCGGGCTGCGGATGCCGACGTGCTGACCAGGAACTAGGGGGCGGAGAGACTGCGCTCGCTGGGCATGGTGTACTTTCTGCTGGTCCTGCCGTTCCTCGAGCTTCTGTCGGATGGCCTCGTCCCGAGTGTCGCGCTGGTGTTTGCGAGGCAGGTTGTCCTGTACCTGACGACCAAACAGCATCTCGGCCGGCGACGGTAAGCCCTGGCACACTGGGGTGGCGCGAATGCACAGCAGTGCTAAGTGCGGGTCGGTCCCGCTCTCCCTTGCCTTCTCGAGAGCTCTCTTAGCGATCTTGACTTGCGATTCGATAAACCCGTTACTCTGCGGGTGATGTGGCGACGACGTACTGTGGCGGAATCCATATTCGGCAGCAAACTCCGCGAACAGATGGCTGCTGTATTGCGGCCCGTTGTCCGACTTCAGCACGGCTGGGATGCCGTGCTCACCGAAAATCTCCTTGAGGTGCTGGATGATGGCCCTGCTGGTCGCTTGGCCGGCAGGCAGCTTCCGGGTGATAAAGTACTTGGAGTAGTAGTCGGCGGCAATGAGGTATTCTGACCCGCCGAGGTAGAACAGGTCCGTGCCTAAGGTGTGCCATGCCCTTGGCGGAATATCGGGCTGCACCAGTGGTTCCTTGGCTTGACTGCTCTGGTGGCGCTGGCACGTCGTGCAAGATGAGACAGTTGCTTCGATATCCTTGTTGATGTCCTTCCAGAAGACGGACGTTCTGGCTCGCAGCTTGGTCTTCTCTATGCCTTGGTGGCTGGCGTGCAGCTTGCCGAGGATTTCCCCCCTCATTAGGGAGGTTTAGTCCCACGTAATCCGTGGGTACTTTACGTGTGTGTACCACGTGATACTCAGTGACCCACGTACAGACGTTTTCTGATTCACGACATACCGTGTATGGAGGCTCACCCACGTTCCGCCAGAACGTGGGTGAAAATCAGAATGGAGCGCATTGTGCGAGCTGTGAGGGTGCTCAGCTGAAGAAGTTTCCGAAGCACGAAATCAAAATATTGGATGAGCTTCTTAGGCCGGGGTAGCTTCGTCTTTGACCAGGTTTTGGCCTTTAGCTTCATGCTTTTGTTCGTTCCGTGTGACTAAACACAACATTGCAACGTGGGTGCCCTTCATCCACTTTACGTGGATCACCCACGTACGCGTTTCCGTTACGTGGGAACTAAACCTCCCTATTGGCGGGGGAATCAGGACGCGACTGCTCTTCAGGATGAGACCGTCCTCGGTGCTCATCTCATCGCGGAAATTCCAGTACGGGAGCAGAATTGCCGGCACCGCGCTCCTCTCCGATGGCCAGCCACTGAAGATCATCTCCTTCAGTGCTGACATCTCGGCGTCTTTAGCCGACTCCTCGCGGATCCTCGTCATCGCTGCATCGCTGAATTGCGGGAACACGGCGTGTACACTGACGTCGAGGTCCTCAATTGGCTCTGTTTCCTCTGGCGACAGCCGGGATAGCGCGTCTGCGATCGGAATGTCCTTTCCGGGGCGGTACTTGATGGTCATGTCGTACGGCTGCAGCTTCAGCAGCATGCGCTGTAGACGCGGCGGGGCTGCGCGGAGGTGCTTGAGCTTGATTGACTCCAGCGGCTTGTGGTCGGATTCTACTGTGAATGACTGACCGAATAGGTAGGTGTGGAATCTTTCACACCCGTATACGACAGCTAAGAGCTCACGCTCAATATTGGCGTAGCGAGACTCTGTCTCGGTAAGCTTCTTGCTGGCGAATGCAACAGGCTTGTCGTCCTGCAGCAGAGTGGCGCCGAGACCTTTCATGGAAGCGTCGACTTGTAGTGTTGTTGCCTTGCCTGGGTCAAAGTAACTGAGCGTTACTTCTGTCGAAATGGCGGCCTTGACCTTGTCGAAGGTGCGCTGGTGGCTGTCTGTCCAGGCGAACGGTGTATCTGGCTTGGTCAGCTCACGCAGGTGCGCGGTCAGTGTACTGGCATTCGGTATGAACGGGCTCATGTACGTGACTAGCCCGAGGAACGTCTGGAGCTCGTCCTCGTTCTCGGGGTGCTCCATCTGCTTCAGCGCTGAGACCTTCTTCGGGTCGGGCTGTATTCCGTCAGCGCTGCAGATGATGCCGAAGAACTTGATCTTGTCCTCTTTGATGCGGCATTTGTCTGGGTTCAACTTGAGACCAGATTGTTCGCAGCGAACCATCATCTGGTGCATGTTGAGATAATGGTCCTCGTCTGACGTCCCGTATGTGACGATGTCGTCTGCGATGCCGGTGACGCCTGAGCACCCTTCGAACGTCTGGTCGATCCTTGCTTGGAAGACATTTTGCGACATCTTGAGGCCGAATGGCATGCGAAGGAATCTGTAGCGCCCGAATGGTGTGCTGAAGGTGGTGAGGTAACTGGATTCGTCGTCGAGCTCCACATTCCAGTACCCACATTTGACGTCGACGATCGAGAACACTTTGGCACCTCTCAACTTCGGGGTGATCTCCTCAATGGTGGAGACCACGTGGTGCTCTCGCAGGATGGCGTGATTGAGGTCCTTGGGGTCTAGGCACAGGCGTAGCTTGCCATTGTCTTTGAGGCGGAACACGAGGCTGTTCACCCACGCTGTTGGTTCGCCTTCCTGGATCTTGGTGATGATGCCGTTCTGGATCATGTCCTCCAGCTCCGTCTTGATCTCGTCTCTCAGTGCGATGGCGTGGAGGTGGCGTGGAGGGTGTACAACCAGGACGACATTGGGGTCCACCGTGATGTGGTACTTGCCTGGGAATTTCCCAATGCCATCGAAGCACTTCGGGTATTGCTTCATCAGGTCGTCCTTGTCTCGGATGCTCGCTGGCTTCTCCTGGACAGTGCAGTTCAGCGTGACTAACTGCAGGGCTGTCGCTGTCGGGAGACCGATGATAGCAGTGCCTGGGCAGTCCGTGATGTAGAAGTCAGCGAGTTGACTCTTGCCATCGTAAGAGCACGGAATAGGACGGGTTCCGCATTGCTTTATCTTGGATCCGCCGTACGCTGTGAGGGTGGTACTTGACGGCTTCACGGACTTCGGCTTTGGGTATCCGTTTGGTCCGACGTGCTGGGGGAACATTTGGCAGAACACTCTCAGCGGCAATATATTGCCCTGGGCGCCCGTATCCACCTTGGCTCTCAAGGTGGCCGGTCTGTTGGTGTTGTCCAGGCTGACATTGAGGGTCACGAACACCTCTCGCTCTAGTGGCGGTTGGTGACGCTCGACGCTGTCGATGATGACGGCGTCGAAATGCAGTGCGTCGAAGCGTCTCCGTGGGCTGGGGCTCCTCTGGGGGTAGCGCTCCCGCGGGCTGGGGCTCCTCTGGCGCCAGCGTCCGCGTTGCTGGCCCCTTCCATGTGCCTCGTCTCTCCCCTGCGAACGGCATACGTTTGCCCAGTGATTCGCCTTCCCGCATTTGTTGCAGGTGGAGCCGTGCGCTGGGCACTTGCTTGGGTGGTGGGTTCGTCCACATTTGCCGCAGTCTGCGTGTCCCACAGATTTGGAAATGGCGTGAACCGTTTCAGGTAGACGGCTGCTGCTGGTGGCGGTGGACAGCTGCTCCATGTGGCGCTGTGTTGCTTCATACGTACGGGCCTTGTCAAGCGCTTCGTCCAGAGTCAAATCACTACCACCCTCCAGCAGGCGTTCTTGCACTTCCGAGTGCTTCGTCCCCACGATTAGCTGTTCTATCAGGCGATCGTTAGTCTCCTGAGCGTCCCTGAACTTGCACTTGGACGTCTTCTTCTTACACCTCGCAAAGAAATCATCTACAGACTCGTCGGGTTGCTGGCGGTATTTCTGAAGCTCAAACCGAGCCAGTCGTGCATTTACCCGTGGCTGCAAATGCTTATTAAATTTCTTGAAGACGGCAGCTACTTTGGATTTGTCGCTTGCATTATCCCACTCGAAACTATTGAAAGCATCAACACCAGTTCTCCCGATCCATAGCATGACATAGGCGACCTTTTCCTTGTCGGACTTGTCGGAAAAGGGCCCTTGGAAAACTAGAAGGCAGTATTGTTGGAACCGCTCGAATTCGTCAGGTAAATCTGCGGCTTGCCAATCCATCGATGGCGGGGTAAATCCGGCTGCTTCTGCCATTTTACCTCTTGCGCCGGTGGCGCTACTGCGACAATTCTAGGGCGTTTATTTAGTTTACTTCTGACACCATGTTTCGGGGTAAACAAGTTAGTTGTTTACGACAGGATTATATTCTCACTTGGCCATTGTAGGCAAATCATAAGAACGCCGACATCTAAAGGATCCTGCATGAAAGTAGGCAGCTGCGAGATGCGTATCTCGCGCATGCTCTTGCATGGCTACGTAATGCATTACATCATAATACAACAGCCGGGGTGCACACTTACTGACTCTGAGCAACAAGAAGAAAGACAGCGTTCTTCTGGTGGGCATTCTCCAGGAGTACCAGTTTCATTGCATTCTGTGCGCCAGCAGCCGATACTACTGTTGTGACATCATAGCTGTCCTGTTTGGAGAGCTGTGGACTGAGTGCTGGGTGAACAGCGGCGTAGTGAACACCGTGTGCTGAGCTGCCAGACTGTGGCGTCTGCGCTGCTGCTGCTCCTGGTGCATCAGGCAAGTCTTCCAGCTCCACTGCACTGCGCCATGCATAGTCTAACACAGTGTAGCCAGGACTGCTGTCACTTGAAGTCAAGCCCAATGCACTGCATTGCCGCACAGGACAGCATTATCAACAACACACACATTACCACTGCATTGCCGCACAGGACAGCATTATCAACAAACACACATTACCAATAATATGAAAGCAATCAGTCGACCAGTCCTTAGGGTAATGAAAAAGCATCAATATGCACAACACAAGGCATGTATAAGAGGGGAAGTGCTTGCGCTTGTGATCCAGCAGACGCTTTTGTATCCCTAAATGACCACAAAATGACTCAAGTCAAGCCCAGGTTTCTATACCATTCATACCCAGTAAGAAGGTCTGCATTCTATGACCTACCCCTCTCCCCTGCAGTACAGTCGACCCCACTTATAACGAACTCGCATATAGCAACTTTCGTGATATACTATAATAGCGAACCATTGTCCATGTCCCTGTCTGAACCCATACAAAATTGACCCTTTAATAGGCCGTTATAGTGAACAATTTTTGTTTATATAAACGAACCAAAATCTGGTAGGGCTGCATGTAAACCAAGTGCAGTTATACTGTTATGGGGCACATGTCAGTCATGACTTGCTACTTGTATAGTGTCAGTGTATTTCTGTTATAACGGACTTTGGCTATAAAGAACTAATTCTCCTGCACAGAACACGACTGTTCACGTGCAGGCACTTATCAATATGGCGTCGTTCGGTGCGATTTATGTAACATTGTGCGAATAGTACAAATACGCGATGAGTTTACGTTTTTGCAAGAAACTCATGTCGATCCTCGCGTGGTTCCACGATTTGGGACGCGAAACCAAGAGAAAGGTTTTGAAAGCGCTCGAGCGAGATACTCGACTTTTCGGCAATTTGAGAGAGAAAGAGGGTGGAAAGGCGTCCTGGCCTGCCCAGTTAGCTGTCTTTCCGCTTCAAACTTGCTCGAAGTACTCCTGGCAGTCTGGAGATTGATCTCGCCAGTGATTGTCAGCCTCTGCTTGGCGTGCTCGCGTGTACAACATTCAAGTTAGACATTTCGTAATCGTTCAACGCACAATAGGGTAGATATCACAATTTCAAGCTCACTTGGCCGGCTGCTGTCTTCTTATATAATATCCCACATGCCGACTAAGCAATTTACAGCAGGAAGCAGCCTTCTACACTCAACAGCAACTAAAGGGCCACACCATTTTGTCTTCCAAATCAAGAGAAAACAGGCTCCTGACTCGTCGCGCGTATTTAGAAGTTCACGCGCGTATTCTAATGACACTTGGGGAAGACAACCAGAGGATAGTCCTCTACCTGGGAAAAAATCGATCTAAGCTGGGAAAAAATCGGGAAGGGCTTCTCGGAGCCGAGTTTGTCAGCGACGACACAAGGCGTATTCCAGAACGAAGCCAAAGTCGCACGACACAGAACAAATGTTTCTTGAAGGAAAGGCAGTCATGGGAGGTACGAGCGGAAAGCTTGAAACAAGACGCAGATGATCAGCGTGTTCCCCGGGCTGTCCGGGCTGACTAGTCTCCAATATCCAGGGGAAACCATGGCCTACTCGTGTTCTGACGATTTGAAAATTCAAATTTTCTTCCCATTGAAGCCCAATCGAGACTTTCGGCGGCCATAATGTTAAGTGGCGTGAAATCGCACAAAAAAACAGCCGTGAGTAGTGGTCAGTGGCGTGTCCAGGATTTGGTGTTCGTCATGAGTCGACTGTACGCTGTAGTAAATGAGACAGGCATAGCAACATACCCAGTCTTCTTCTTGGCAAGAATGATCAGGTCATTGAACAGGAAGAGGTGGAAGCTCTGTCGCTGGACACGAGCACCTTTGCGAATCACAGCCTTTTCCACGGACAGCAGTGACAGCTCTCCGCTTCTCACCAGCCATCTTGATGAAGAGACAAGGCCCAATTGCTACAGAGGCACAACAAAGGGGCACAAAAAGGTGGGAAAGGTAATACATTATGATTGTACTGATCCTCTATCGCATGGCATATCTGCAGTGATAGCACATTCTAAAAAAGGAGATGAGGGAGGTGAGAGGATGACTATGATTTACGTCAAGGTAAGATCCCGTCCCGTCAATATACCAGGTCAGCAGTCTAGGAAGCCTTGGAATGTAGCTTGTGCTCGGCTCCATGGCGCTTACCTTCCCCTCTTTGGAATTAGCACTAATATCCATGAACTTTCCAAGTTTGAAGGCCGTTGGTTAGCGCTATCAAGCAGTGATGAGCTGACTTTCATGCCGTGGAATGTCTCCGTACTCTTTGTCAGTTTTGTGCTAGATTGTGCACATCAGTTTGACTGTTCAAAATCTGGTTTAGTTGGTGGACTCCATCACATAACTTGTGCCCACATTTTGCATGTTACAATTTTTCCTTGGCTCACCATCTAGTTCTTATTTATTTTTTTATACATTTTTTTGCCATTCTCCTTCTGTACGCCATACACATCAGTGCAGCTCTCCTGTAGAGTTCACTTGGTACACTAACGTCAGTCGCTGGTCACGTAACACAGGTGGTCGCTTATTTTGGTGCAGTTTCTAGGCAGAACTGGTGGTGAATGGAAAAAACGGTCGTTAAAATAAGGTCACAGTCGCTAATACCAAGAGTACATAAACCAGAGTGTGCAACTCGGGATGGTTCCTGTGGGAGCGTGATTCGTGCAGTATGTCATTTCTGACGGCATGGTAAGCCACAGGTACGGTGAAAAGTTGCATAACAAGTCACAGTGGTGCAGGGCACTGAGTTTGTCCTGATTTCAGTTTTTTGATACGGATAGCATGGTGAATTTACTTGCCAGCGGATGTACATGTCGTACGCAGTCACACAAAAACACCAAAATCCTAAAACAGGACGTCTTAATCATGCAAATCATGCAAACTTGGCTGTGAAACACGAAAATTTGAGCTGTACGCAAGTCGCAGCTTGGCTGACCTCATCAGGGTGATATAGTGCACGAACTGCGCTGTTTCAAATCTGATATGCACAGTTACACACTCTGGTTTATGTACTCTTGCTAATACCAGAGGTTGGTTTATGTACTCTTGCTAATACCAGTACAGAGGTGGTCGCTTTTAACCGGCAGGTTTTACTGTACATGTAGTACGGTCTGGTACGGTGCAGCAGCATGTGAGCACACTGACCGTTTCCCTGCGCTTCAGTCACCATCAATATGAGTTGTATCTCAAGACCACGTGTAGTGTTACAAGTACATGTGTGACCAGTGTTCTGAGTAGCAGACACCCTTTGCTCCTACTTGGTCCGCCCAGCTAAAATTGGCGCTTATCTTCTCACTTGGTTTTTTGGTGTTTTGCCTGTGCCACACGGCATTGAACCACCGATTCACCATCCGAACATGACCATTGACCATTGCATCCGACGCCATGGCAGCACAAACCATCACAGAAGTTGCGATCGGTTCGTTTGAGTCTTTTTGACGGAGCTGCCGCCGACGAACACTTCCGTCAGCGCAAGAAAACACTGCAACCTCCGCTCGAGTCCGTAAAATAGGTCAGGATGTTCGCATTTCAGAGCGATGGAGAATACAGTTTCTGTCTACTTCCAGCTGTCTGATGGCAAGGATTGTTTACCCCGGGGAGGTTTAGAAAAGCTGAAAAAGCGCTTCGCGAGCTTGAATTTCAGTGCTTGCACAGTACAGCGCCTAGTGAAGGGCTATCACCAGCAAATCGCTGACGAAGAAACTGCAGCTCATGTCGATGTCTCCAGTAAGTGAGACCAATCCGGCGGACACACTTTGAAGCTCACAGAGGACAGGGCAAAGGAGCTAATCAAAGGAAACACCAAGTCCTGAGAGAAACACTCGTGCAAAGGACTTTCAGGAAACTAGCCGAAAAGCCTGGTGCACGGCGTTGTAGGTGCAGTACGCACAGGTGCTACATCAAGCGCGGAAGCTATCACTGCGCTGCATGTACAAGCACCAGCGGCTCGCGTGGGTACGGGTGCTGATCAGCAAGTACGACAAGCGCAAGAGGCGATTTGAAAAAAGGACACTGATATGGCGTTGCCTTTTTGTCTCAAACAAAGTCGCATTATTGCGACGAACGGGGATAACACTTACAGTCAACATGCGGGCAGTCTCACTCAGCTTCTGATGGGAAGGTGACAAGCACGCACTGCCTTTGAGCGTGATTCGAGACGAGTAGAAGTGGAACAAGCTATGAAACGACCCGTGCAGCAGTTGTCCGGATCGTACGTTTTGAGCTCTTCCTCCAGCGACGATAGTGGCGAGGAGGATGTGTAACTTGCTTGAATTTTCGACTGAGTTGCTTACTGACATGTAAATAATCATGTATATAGTGCTTTGTGATCGTGGCTTGCTTCAAATATTAGTATTTCTTTCATGAGACAAGTTGGAAGATAAGCGCCAATTTTAACTGGGCGGACCAAGTAGTACCTGTATTATGCCCGGAAAAGAGAGGCTGGAGTGTGATAACAAGAAAAAGAGAGGGTGGAGTGTGATAACAAGGAGAAAATCCAGGTCAATAGTCAAAGAGCATACCTTCACTTTGCCAAAGTCAATCTTCGTATGCAAGTCGATGAGCTGCTCTGTTCGTTCCATGCTGCGGGCAGCTTCATTGCATCGCCTTACCAGCTGCAAGATAAAATGTACATTGACATTCACATGCACACATGTACAGACACACAGAGACACATATTCACACCACATAATGATATGCTCACATCATATGCCCACAGCATATGCTCACAGCATATACACACAGCATATATAACACAGCACATACACTGGCACAGCACATACACACAGCACATACACTGGCACAGCACATACACACAGCACATACACTGGCTGCGTTCGATTATGCACTTGAATAGATTCATGAATCCATTCGCATGCATTCAAGTCGTTCGATTTTCATGTCATGAGCCCTGGAATCGATTCGGAATCCATTCACCCTATTCACATGGGGTGATGTGAATAGTGTGAATCGATTCATGAATCGATTTGCGTGCATAATCGAACGCACTCACTGGCATAGCATACACACACAGCACATACACACACTGCATACACACACTGCATACACACACTGCATACACACACAGCACATATACACACTGCATGCATACACACACTGCATACACACACTGCATACACACACTGCATACACACACAGCACATATACACACTGCATGCATACACACACTGCATGCATACACAGCATACACACACTGCATACACACAAGCACCCGAATGCCGTAGGTCTATTTCTTTTTTTGTACTGGTCTGATTTATTCCACACTGCAACAAGATGCACATGGTTGTTTACACATGTGTCAATCCTCGCAACGCACCTTTCAGTATAACAAAATGATGAAGAGGATGTTTGCCAAATTCCCTTGACAGCACATGGAATTCCTCGCCTTTTTTCCTTGCTGCTCCACGACACATGCACTTGTTGCTGGTCAGATTAGTTTTCTCGTGTAGTGCCGCGGCATATGATTGTGATTGTACACCAATTATAGAACAAACCGTTTGGGTTTATAGTGTATCCGTGGTAATAGCAAAGTTAGACTTGAAAGTAGCGATGTACATGCATGCATTGCATGGGTACTTGGATAGCATGGGTACTTGGATAGTATGGGTATACGACTAGATGGAAAGTTGGTTACTCAGATACTAGTAGGCATGGAGGAGAAGGAAGTAACAATCACCCGCCCCGGCATACATTCAACACCGTGACGGGGGAGGGGAGGGGACAGTAGAACAATGAAGTAGCTACTAAAACGACCATGGATGACCATACCGCCTGAGTCAATTCCAGTGATTGCTGCGATGTCTCATAGTTCTTGTCTTCAGGCTGCATTCGGTCAATAATAGCCTGGCACATTAAGCAAACAACATGAACAGTTGTACACACGTTTAAGTGGAAATATAAACCAGTCTTGACGACCATCCTACAGAAATTTTACCTGCCAGCATTGGATAGCCATTACCGAATTCTGATGTATTCATCGTAGAGAAATGCTCCACATGATATATGCCCTAGCACACCAATCTAGTTAGACCCCAATCCGTTCAGCTTTCTTCCACTTACACACTGCAGACAGGACTCCTTTATCCCCATACACTGCCATGCACCCGAAGTGAAACCACCAAGCAAGACAGTAGCAAACGATATTATCCATGACTGAGTACAGGTAGAGCATCAGAAAGTGAAATAGGGATTCAAAGACAAGTGCTATGTCACAGACTCACAGGTAGCATGGACACGTGACAACGCTGACTTTGGGGTCCACTTGGATCTAGTTTTTGTATGGATCCATACACGTTTGGATGATTTCCCTTCACAGCAGGGTGATACATCCGCCTGCAGTGGCTGGACTGCGCACTCCCTGTCAGGGACCTACCCCTGCTACAGAAAGAACCAAACTTGCGTGCGACACGAGGAGCCTACCCACCCCATACTGCACTTCACTATGCGGGGCAGAATGAACCCAGACTGAGGTCTTATTCTGTCGGCACTGTTTCTGATGACATGACTTTCAAGCCCTATCGTTCTGAAGAAATTGTATACACTCGGATGCCTGCATACACAGGCAGGCTGGTTTGTAGTGTGCCCTGATTAACCCTTTCAGGGTCACGGTGCATTTACTACGTCTGGGCACTGAAATTCAGTGCATCAGTACAATTGTGGAGATTAGGGGTGAAACGATTAGTTCGAATATTCGAGTATTCGTTCGAAAATTTCAAACGAGCGAGTATTCGAAATTTTGCACTCGATCGTTTTTTTTTTTTTTTTTTTTTTTTTTTTTTAGTATTGGCATTGTATTTTTCAAAAACTTTTGTTGTACGGCTGGTCCACTGGTATGCATGCGTTATGCATGGCTTTGAGTCAGTATTTTAAGACTTGGACGATGCGATCACCATGGCAAGTAACGTTCTGAGATATGAAAGTACTGATGAAAATCGTTACTTTACACTCTGTACAAGACGTTGGCGACTTTTGTTCTATGTTCACAGATAATTTCTTCCGAATTGGTCGAGAACTCGCAAATCTAGTGCTTTTGAATTTTGATAAAATACTCGAATAATCGGATACTCGATCGAATATTATGAACGAGTGATCGGTTGGTCAAAATAGATACTCGTTTCACCCCTAGTGGAGATAGCAGCAAACAAATTGTCACAGCATTTTTGTTTCTCGACGGATTTTCGCATGTCATGGCTTACTGGAAAGCTCCTTTCCGGCTCGTCATCTTCCACGTACTTTCAGAGCATACAGCACCTCAAGGACGCCCCTGGCCTCGCCAACAGTGTCCCTATCATGCTCCAGTTTGGCATCAAGACCACGCACAACTATTTCCTTTGGTTTGGGGCTCATACTCAACGTAGAACTACGATTCAAACTGCATCGATCGAAGTCGTGAGATTCAAGCGATTCAAACGATGTACTCATATGTCATGCTGCCTTTCGCACGTCATTGGGAAATCCCCTTGAATGACTTAAAAGTAAGTTGCAAAAAATCGCCAGACAGAAAGTAAGAAAAATGTTCAGATCAAAATCGCGCGTTTAATTTATCGCCGCTCGATCATTTGTTGAGCTATCGCCACACCGAAAACACCTCTGGAAAGCCCTTTCCAAGACCGTTCCAATGAGCTATAGATCTTGGCGATGGGATAATCCGTTCCAGAGTTATGGCTGTTTGTGCAGTGATCTATCAGTGTGTACGGTTCTGTTTCAGTTTGTTTTTACTCCAGCCTTGGATCCTCTTCGTTCTACAGCCATTCTTTTTGCATCGCCCGCGCTGCAATGGAATCAAGTGATTCTTTGATCAACTATGGCCGCTATAAGAGGCCCGAGAGAAATGTACGCATGTTCACAAAACCTCACCACTATCAAGAGTGGGAAACGGGTAATCCTCTGAGTTGGTAGAGTGAAGAATGACAGGAGTGGCAGGCCCTGGCACTTCTTGTCGTTTTCTAGTTGGGCGACGACTTCATTGAACCTTGGATTCCTTTCCCTGAGCAAAAGATGCAGACAAAATATCACAATTCAGTGAATTCACAATTTTGAAACCAGTGGAAATATAATCAGCGTGGGTTAACACCCCTTCTGTCGATTCCCTGAACACCCCAGTGATTACCGCCGGTGGCAGCCTCTCACAGGAGTTAATACCATAATATTATCTTACCAGTTACAACTTATAAGTCGACTCCCCATACTTGGGACCTCGACTTCCCGGTTCAGTCAATGGTGCTTACACCTCAGTTTGTAAGTTGACTACCCCCCCCCTTTTTTTAAGGTTGGTTTTAGGTCATCAAATGTCGACTTACCGTGACAGAACCGGTAACTATATACGGTAGTTTCCTTCCATCCACCTGTGTCACTGATGGTCAGGATCATAAGCACTTACATTCACAAACTTGTTCCAGCCTGCTCATGCCTAACATCTACATCTACATGTACATGTACACCGGCAGGGCACATGCAGTGAGCCTGATACACATACACGTTGTACAGATGTACGAAATCCTGTAGAATCTCGGAGAATCCCAAAGACCCGGTTGGGTGTTGAATGTGCAGGACCCTATCGTGTCTATTGCTATTTCCACTAAGAAATGGGCATTTCATATCAAACCTTTTTGCGGACAAAGATGTACTTGTAGCTAGTCATTACTTCTATCAAGAGTACATAGCCCCCCCCCCCTCCAAACACACCCCAGAGTGTGCAACGCCTGATTCAGCTCTGCATAGGGTCTTGGTCGAGCATAGTCACATCTTCTGATGTCATGCGTACACTCCACACCAGCGCAAGGCCGGTCTCGAGGCAGGGCATCGTTGTTTTTGATCCGAGAGTCCCCGCGGCTCCCCGGGTTCCCCTCAGATGTGTACGGCATTATGACGCAAAGACCAGATTACGCTCGACCAAGACCCTATGTAGAGCTGGATCAGGCGTTGCACACTCTGGGGGTCATGTACTCTTGCTTCTATCCAATGTGATGAAGCCAGAAAAGCGATTGTCTGCTACGTACTCATAATTTGGCTAAATTGGTCAAATACACATGTATAGTACACAATGAACACCCGCCCGGGCATGTACACATCCATACTCCTAGCAGAGAATTTTGTATATCTGTACAACGTGCATAAGGATTAATCCCCGGCAATCCCCGCACAACTGCAGCAGTGCCCCCCTATCAGCATGATCATGCAGGTGTTTTACAGACTGTGGGCCGCATCGGACAAGGACGCCGGCCATAGGCCGTGACTGGGGGGGTAGCATACATCACTTACTGCAATCGCTTCATTTCTCTCAGCTGATAGATCTGATTCTTACAGTAGGTTACATAGGGCTCAAAGAACTCTGCTTGCCTCACCTGTCAAGGAAAACACACACACACACACACACCACATACACACGCACACGCACACACACACACACACACACACACACACACACACACACACACACACACACACACACACACACACACACACACACACACACACACACACACACACACACACACATACACACACACACCACACACACACACACACACACACACACACACACACACACACACACACACACACACACATACACACACACACACACACACACACACACACACACACACACACACACACACACACACACACACCCCAAGCAGGCAAGAATTCAGCATCTTGACGCACAAAGACACACTGCTAGACTGACCAGGACTTGGTAGTGGTTCTGTGAATGCCGGGATTGCATATCCCAGCAGGGTGTCCAGAGCATGTACATGTGCTAGCGGTGTATTGCCTAGGACTAGTACATGTGCTAGCGGTGTATTGCCTAGGACTAGTACATCAGTGCTGCCTGATGGGATTGTAAAGCAACTCACTAGTAAAGTGACTACTTTAGTAGCACTGTCAAGTCCTGTACTGCTGTGTAAGTGACCAGTATACTGTGAGGAAATAAGACTGGGCAGGTGGCTGTATGCTACACGGTGCTGAAAGGATACAGAAAATGGCCTGGGGACATTAAGTTAACAGAATCATTCAACCAGTGTGTGTGTGTGTGGGGGGGGGGGGGTGTTCAAATCCCACTACTGCCACAACTGTAGTAGCTCTTGACTGAGGGCATTCACTGTGACAGACTTCAATCAACACAGACTGTCACTGTCACTGTACAACTAACACAGCGGCAATTGATTTGTTATATTCATAAAAGACCAAGGGAGTTGAAAATGAAAAAAATATGGAAGAAAATGTGACTGTCACGACCAGGACTAAACCGAGGCACCTTGACTTTAGAGGCCTGCGATGCTCTTCCACTATTAACGCCATGTGTGGTGTAGTCATCATCCCAGGCGTGAGATCGTTACACATTTACTTCAGACTCCAAAACGCATGCAGTCATGCTGTCCCAACGCTACAAAAAAAGTAACAAAAACATTTGGTGACACATCCCCTCTATCCGCTAGTGGAGGAAAAATGATACAAGCTAAACTGACCTACAGTGACATGATCTTGCATGCTACAACTCACAAAGTCATAGATGGTGTTGCAGACATTCTCAATACAAATCATCTGACTCTCGCAGTCCTTGAGCGCTTCCAAAAGCCTGAGGCACATTGATATACCATGAAGTAGGAGGACGTCATTATAAACAAGACACAAGACACATTGATGAATCCTTCGGAGCAAAACTATACGATTAGAGGTGATTCTTGCAGGACATCATTCCATCATTCACTAACCCGCAATACTGCAATACTGCAACTAGGAACGGCACGTGTCTAATAATCCAAACACACTGTGAAGCGAAAGTACATCAAACAACTCCCCGTGACACTGCTGTGTTGTGCAATCATGATGATCACATGATCATGTGCCTGCAGGGTTCTAGCCAGTAGTCAAATACTGTAGGTGCCTGCAGGGTTCTAGCCAGTAGCCAAATACTGTAGGTGCCTGCAGGGTTCTAGCCAGTAGTCAAATACTGTAGGTGCCTGCAGGGTTCTAGCCAGTAGCCAAATACTGTAGGTGCCTGCAGGGTTCTAGCCAGTAGTCAAATACTGTAGGAGAGCGGGCAAGGGAAACAGTTAACCCGTAGCCCATTTTATCAAATTTCCAAAATTGTCTTGCCATGCAAAATGCAAACCCCTGACTGGGGGGGGGGGGGGGGCGCTAGGGGCGCTATTGCCCCCCCCCCCTCCTTTGGCTAGAACCGTGATGTGTTGTTCCTTACCTAGAGCTTATCTCGTAGATGGTCTTGATGTTGGAAAACAGATGCTTGTAGCTATCTCTACTGAGAATGCGTCTATCAGCCGGTAGATCTGGCGAAAGCAGTGGGGAATCCATGAAGTGGTCAATCAGTATCTTTAGACTGCGGTTGTAGCTAATCTCTGACGTGATCACCTCAAAGTTGGCCTGGTAGAAGGAAAATGGAGAGGGAAAGAAGACGCAAAATTTGCTGCGTAACTCACCCGGGCAGACAGTTGTATCTGCCAGACTTTGGACCTCGTAGACTGCAACGAAAGGTTTGTAGCAAGACGTCAGGGCTCTGCTACAGACCCACGCATGCATATGAACCACTTTCACACCCATAGTGCTTCATAAACAGTGGTTGTTCACAGACAATCTTCGATGGCCCACGTTACACGTTGCTAACTGCCTATGCTATCATGGCGACGCCACCTGACGGGAATATTAACACCTGCCTATCACACAATACCGGCGAGTATAGCATACCATGCGACGTGCACGGTTCACCTATCATTACATGCACGTATGCACACACGCATACACACACAAACACAAAACACAAAACACACACATACAAACAAACACACACAGCACACACGTACACACACACACACGCACACACACACACACACACACACACACACACACACACACACACACACACACACACACAACACACACACACACACACACACACACACACACACACACACACACACACACACACACACACACACACACACACAAGCAATCATTACATATACTTTATCATTACGTAATCTGCACTTTTATCCTAGAGAAGACTCGGTAGGGCATGACATACCTCCTGAAGGTGGCGCTCATCATCCGAAATGTTCATGAGGATACCACTGTTACGCACCTGAACAACACATAACCACACACGCATGCCCAACACACGCACATGTGCACACACGTACACACACGCACGCACGCACACACACAGACACACACACACACACATATACGCACACACACGCACACGCACACACACACACACACACATAAGGGTCCGTCAAGTCAAACATGAACCCGACTCAAAAGCAAGGGTGTGCTTGACGGCAGGCTTCTTCCTTGCCAGACACAAATGAGAGTGGTGCAGCAGAGTATGCATGCCTATCATCGTCCCACATGACAATACATGTGTACATAACATTACCTTGACCTGCTCACACCACAGCATTCTCTTCTTTGTCTCACGGACACTCTCACGCAGCTTCTTGTCCAGTGCCAGTGGAGCAAGGCCCCTGACACACTCATACGTGGTTGAGTCAAGGCCCTGATAAATAGCGTTGTCATCATCTTCAAAGTCGTCTTCATCTGCAAAGAACAGCAATCGTACAGTTACACAATGTCATGCACATACCAGAACTTCTTGAAGATAACTTCACACGTTTGAAGAAAAAAACTTGATCTGAGTTCCGAATATGGCAGACCTTTATTACAAGATAGACTAAGAGGGATCTGGCTTTGGCAGGACAAATTTGAAATGCTCTGATAAATATTAAATACATGCATGCCAATATGACTGCAGTGTCTGCTCTAGGACTTCAAACAAACCGGGTACACTTGTACCTGGCATGACTCTTGCAACCAGGTTCAGAGCTGAGTGCGTTCAAATGCGGCTACAGCACGTACACCAGGGAGTCGTCAATATTTCACGACTCCTTGATGTACATGTATGAACAATGCACAGTTTACTGGACATTCTGTCTGCACCTGGGACTGCACATGCCCACTGCAGCCTGCCAGTGTCTCTCCCCCCCCCCCCCCCCCAATAGAGCTTAACACATTATGTCGTTGAAAAAAACAAACACTGATCATAATTATGTAATCGCACAGCCTCTATAAGCCTTATGCACATTGTACAGATGCACAGCCTCTATACGCCTTATGCACGTTGTACAGATGCACAGCCTCTATAAGCCTTATGCACGTTGTACAGATGCACCGCCTCTATAAGCCTTATGCACGTTGTACAGATGCACAGCCTCTATAAGCCTTATGCACGTTGTACAGATGCACAGCCTCTATAAGCCTTATGCACGTTGTACAGATGCACAGCCTCTATACGCCTTATGCACGTTGTACAGATGCACAGCCTCTATAAGCCTTATGCACGTTGTACAGATGCACAGCCTCTATAAGCCTTATGCACGTTGTACAGATGCACAGCCTCTATAAGTAGAGGATATAACCCGAGTCAGAGGGTTATACCGGCTGAATATAAATCCCGACTGCGATAGCAGGAGGGATTTATATGAGGGTACGGTATAACCCGACTACGAGGGTCATATCCTACTTATGCCAGGTACCCCTACGCATTTCCAGAACAACGAACCTATTTGGAGATCTCCTACATCATACAGTACATGAACATGTTCTGCTGGTTATCAGTTGTCAAAGAATGGTCGAGCAAGATCAGAAGGAGATTCCTCCGTGGATGTTTGGCATCAGATTTCCTTTCAGTTCCAGTGCATATTGTAGCATATCGTCTCGTGAGCGATGCGGAAGTCAACTGAATTGCTGGGGTGCTGGAGTCGTCGTTGAATCAAACTACCGTCACAAGTTAGACTGCAGTACAGTTTGGACTCTTTGGGAGTAAGTGTCATGGTTATGGTACAGTGCTGATTTTCACATGCGGCATCTTATATTTATAATCAGGTTTGCTTGCAAGTAGATGCATTTGCATACACTGTTTTGTATCACTGTATCACATTTCCATCCATTTTTCCAATCGGTTTAGGTGGATTTGAAGTACACTCTGTATCATAAACTTAGTTACGAAGGAGACAGTCTGTTGATGATCTTCAACTATTTGAAGTACAATGTACATTGCTGACCCATTCGGGATACTTGGTGGTTATTTGACGTTCTTTATCCTCAGCCTTGAAGTAGAATACATGTAGAATACTCGGTAGACGAATTCCAGGTCATTCTTCTTTTCCATTGTGTACTGTTCCTCATCAGTAATGCCGTTCTGTGTGGAGTGTACACGTGCATGTGGTGTATGTTGTGTCTGTTGTAAATGGCCCGTGCGCTGGAGTGCTGCCGTCGTACAAGTTCATTGCCTTTCAGGCAGTGGACTTGTACGGTGGCAGTGCCCTAGCGTACGTACCGTGCACCGGGATTTATATTCAATATAAATGTTGTACCTGCGCCTGCACGTGTTATCTCTTCGTCGTAGCTGCTGCTGTATTTGTGTCTCTGTGTGTACATGTGGCTGCACGTGTTGTCTCTTCGTCGTAGCTGCTGCTGTATTTGTGTCTCTGTGCTGCTGACCCGTACATGCTGCTGCGCTGCTTTGTTGCTGACCCGTACATGCTGCTGCGCTGCTTTGTTGTTGACACGTGCACCTTTTTGTGCTGAGTACACCACCTTTTGTGCTGACGAGGGCACCAATTTCTGATATCATGTTTTCCTTTTGCCATGTCGTCGTCAGTTGTCCGACGTTCGTCGTCAGTTGTTAGACATTCGTTGCCAGAGTCAGACGTTCGTTGTCAGTCGTTCGTTGTCAGTGTTAGTTCTCCATTATGAGTTCTGCCGTCGCCGCTTGAAGTAAACTATGAAAAGCTCTCTCTCTAGCTCTAGAGAAAAACCACTGACTAGTTCGTTTTGAGGTGTGGCGTGGCGAGGATAGAAGAGGCAGTTCGTTCTCAACCTTCCGAGACGACATTTGGCGCCCAACTAATCGAACCCACGACCCTGAAGCTCGTCGCTCTCCGGCCGGTGTTTTTCGTTTTCCTCTTCGCGTTCTCGCCATGGCTCCGCTTTGCTGCGTCTGTTCAACCCTTTCCTAGATCCTCGGAGCTCCTACTCAGGTGAGCATGCCTTTGTAATTTTCTGCTCTGCGTAATGTGTTGCAATGTTGCCGTACCTTGTATTCGATTTCGAATTTTCAAATAATTGTTTTGCGTCGGGTGACTCGGGTCCCTGCAGGAATTCCGTGGAACCTTGTTCTCTTGTGTTCGAGTGTGTACTCGTACAAGTGTAGTCTTGCTGCTCGTTGGAAGTTCGCCCCGTTGTGTTAGTTGTGCTCTGACTACCCTGTACTGTACATGTTGTGTATGAAAATTTCAAACTTCTGTTCGTGCGCTACTCGTTCGAATCTGGGACTTGTGTTTGCATGTTCGTCGTGCATTCAGCATGGGTAGCTTTGATCTCGTCTTGTGTTGTGCACTTGTGCTTGTCACGGAGTTGCCGTCGGACTGCTCCGATAGTGTGACTGTGTCGCGTGATTTGTTTAGATGTCCACCTGAACGTTCTCGAGGTGCTGCCTCGTATGGAGTCGATCCATATTGTTTTGTTTCGTGTTTTTACCGTTTTAGTAGTAGTTTCTCCATGTTCTGTGTACATGGTGTAGAGCGTTGTCAGGCTCGGTCATGCACTGTCAACAAAGTAGGAAAGCTGTTGGCTTCCGGTTTGGTGGGAGGTGTGAACTTCATGTAGGATTCTCGTTCTTGATCCAGGTTGAATTTTTTTTGTGAGCGTGTGGTTTTGTAATAATTGTGTTTCGGCATGTGGGTTTCTCTAGTTCGTCTGGGTGGGCGTCTGATCATGGTGAGCCACGGTCTGCTTGGTGGTCTGCAGGAATCCTGCGTTTTTTTGTATCGGTTTGCCTTGCGGGTGTTATGGTTTCCGGGTGTTGCTGGTTGGCCCTTGTGCGTCGCAATCGGTCCCTGACAGTTTCTTTTCTTCAGTTTTTTGGTTTTGCGAGCGGATATACTATAAGTTCCGGTTTTTTCAGGTTCAATCCCTGCGGTTTTTTCAGGTTCAATCCCTGCGGTTTTTTCAGGTTCAATCCCTGCGGTTTTTTCAGGTTCGATCCCTGTGGGTTTTTTCAGGGTAGCGCCCTGTGGTTTTTCTTCATTATCTTTTGCGTATTGGTAACCGATTTGTTTGTGTGTCCTCAATGGTGTCCTCACTGATTAATTGCTCCTGTTTCAATCGACGTTTTCTTCCTGGCTGTTCTTCCCTTCCTTCGTGTGCTTTACTGATTTTTGGTGATGGCTGAGATGTTTGCGTCAGTCCTTCTCTCTTTCTGTGTGTGTCCTGTGATTCTCGGAGTTTCTGTAGCGCCATCGGTTTTCGGACAGCCGGCCAGTGTGCGTCCTGCTGCCCCAGTCTTCTTCTCGGTCGGTGCGTGCTGTCGGTCTCGCCGCTCCTGGAAGCGTCGCTGGGTCCGTCGGCATAACCTGTTTTCTCATGCATTTGTACTTTTGTTTTGTCATGACTGGTGGATGGGTGGCGTACTAGGTTGGTGCTGTTCTAAGAATAAAAGATCCAAAGGGACAAACACAGGTCGAACAGCTCGCCAGCCGGGGTCCTCTGCAAAATCTGTTGCTTGCAGGTTCCGTTGATTGTTGCACAGTTTTGCGGGGCTCCCGACTGGTGTTAACCCTCCTGGCCTACTCGTCATGTGTGTGGTAGTCATGCATTGTACATCACGGCTGTAGTACTGATGTGCACAGTCATGGTAACAGTGCATTGCGTAATGCTCTTGGCCATATGCTGCTGTTGAGCTGGTTTTACAGATGAAGAATCTGAGAGAGACAATGGCTAGTTGTCTATTCTTTCCGTGTGCTTAGTCTGGCTTCTTGCATGCCTACATTGGCGCAGTGAACAGGCACGGATTTGTCGCCATGTCCGCTCCCAAAGGCAGAGCGCCGAAGGAATTTGTACCTGACTTTTCCAGCAACATCGGAGCCGATTTCGAATTGTGGCTCGAGGACGTTGATGATTACCTGAAAATTTGTGGAGTTACGACGGCAGCTGATAAGAAGAGGCTGTTTCTGAACCTTGCAGGCCTCGCTGTTAGGCGTATTGTTAAAGGAATCGTAGTTCCTACTCCACCAGCTCAGGCTGATGGCAGTGCCGGATGTGAGTACAAAGCTCTGACGGATGCTGTGATTGCTCATTTTCGTCCTGCCACAAACACAACGTCGGAACGCCACCGATTCCGTCAGCTTCGCCAGAATGAGGGTGAGTCTGTCACATCGTTTGTGGGACGCCTGCGCGAAGCAGCTGATCGCTGTGAATTTGCGTCTACTGCCGTGGACACCATTGATCAGGGACAAATCCGTGACCAGTTGATCGAGGGCCTGCGATCCCAGGAGCTACGTAAAGAACTTCTCAAAGAGTCAAAGTTGACACTAGCCAATGCTGTGAGCAAAGCTGTGGCACTCGAGTCCTCTATCACGGACAGCAAGCTTTATGGTGACGCTGCAGCTACTCCATTGTCGAATTCATTCTCTCACATTCATCGTGTTTCACACTCCCAGCCTGCCTCTGCGCACAAGAAGTTTGGGAAGTGCAAGTACTGTGGCCGCTCGCATCCAAGAGGCAAGCAGCATTGCCCTGCAGCGGATGCTACTTGTGGCAACTGCTCGAAAGTCGGCCACTTTACAACAGTATGCCTGTCGCGCAAGTCTGATAATGCGCGCATGACATCCGAACAGGTGGAGGAGGATGACGCCAACTATTTCTGTGATTACGCATTCTCAGTGGATACTTCTCAGCACCAGCAATTGTTTCGTAAGACGCTGATCGTCAACGGCCGTCCCTGTGAAGGACTACTGGATACCGGTGCTACCCGATCAGTGCTAACCGATGATGTTGTCCAGCCAACGCGAAAGAGTGATCGAATCTTGAAAGCGTACAATGGCGGCGTCATCTCAACACTCGGTATGGCTGATGTGACGGTCTCTGTTGGATCACGCAGCATCGTATGTAGTTGTTTTGTTGTCCCAGTCGCGTCTGGCCGCCAAATCCTGTATGGCCAGGACGTCATCTCCGAACTGGAGTTGCTGACCTCTGCTGAAGTCAATGTGGTGAACGTGACGCCCATCTCTATCACAGTGGACCCTGACACCACTCCAACAGCACTCCCACCCCGTCGGCACGCTTTCAGCATCCGGGATGAAATTGCCAAGGAGTTGGATCGTCTGGTGAAGCATGACATAATCGAGCCAGTGCGAGAAGCTACTCCGTGGGTCTCACCGTTGGTGCCGGTCAGGAAATCAAGCGGTGCTTTGCGTCTCTGCGTGGACTACCGCGTCCTAAACAAGAGCGTAGTCCGGGAGCGTCACCTACTTCCCACCGTTGACGAAATCAATGCGCAGCTGGACGGTGCAACAGTGTTCTCCGTTCTGGATGCTGAATCTGGCTTTCACCAGCTCCCTTTGGCCGATGAATCTCGTCCGTTCACCACTTTCGCCACTCACAAGGGCCTCTTTAGATTCAAGAGACTCCCGTTTGGCATTGCTTGCGCACCGGAGATATTTCAACGTGTGGTGTCTGACATCCTTGCCGGCCTACCGGGAGTCGTTGTCTATATTGATGACATTCTCATCTATGCCCGCAACCGACAGGAACACGACGAGCGCATGGCTGCCGTACTCCGTCGTTTGAGCGAAGCCAACCTGCGCTTAAACTGGGAGAAGTGTCGCGTACGCCAGTCAGAAATCAAGTACTTGGGACACTGGCTGAGCAAGGATGGTGTGCGTCCTGACGGTGACAAGCTGCTGGCAATCCAACAGTTGCAGCTGCCGCAGACGTTGACAGATGTACGTCGTTTCCTTGGTATGGTGACGTACCTTGGTAAATTCATACCGCAGCTCTCACAGACAACTGAGCCGCTGAGGAAACTGGCTCAGCGACAACCATTCGTCGTTGATGATGAGCTGACGGCCGCGTTCACCGATGCGAAGACAGCCGTGGCCTCGTCGCTAGAGTGCTTAGCGTACTTTAAGCCATCCTTGGACGTCCCAACCAAGGTAACATGTGACGCATCTCCACTTGGTCTGGGTGCTATTCTGTGGCAGCAAGACAAGAGTGGCACTTGGTTACCTGTCACCTGCGCCAGCCGTTCATTGTCCGATGTTGAATCTCGTTATTCCCAGTTGGAGCGCGAGATGCTTGGTATCGTATTCTCTCTGACTCGATTCCGACAGTACGTCCTGGGGAGATCTGTTCAAGTTGTGACCGACCACAAGCCCCTGATCTCAATCGTCCAGAAGCCGTTTGACGAAGTACCACCACGGCTGCAGCGCTGGATGGTCGCTCTCATGCCATACCAGTACACCTTGTCACATGCACCTGGGAAGCAGATGGTGTGTGAAGACACATTGTCAAGAGCGCCTGTCCAAGACTCAACTGCCTCACCAGAAGAAGCCCGCTCTATGGCTGAGTTCATTGGCCTGGTCTTGGAAGAGTGCCCAGTCAATATCGACGATATCGCCAAGGCGACTAGTGATGACCCACTGTTGCGCAGCATACAGCAGCGCGTCTTGATGCAATCATGGTCCCAAGTCACACCCGCTGAAGAGCCATACTACCTTATTCGAGATCAGCTGACGACCATTGACGGCATCCTGCTATTCGGTAACCGCTGTGTAATACCAGAAGCTCTCCGACATGCCGTACTGCAGTTGGCCCATGAAGGTCATCCAGGTCGGGACATATTCAAGGATGCTTTGCGACGACGAGTATGGTGGACCGGCATGTCTAAAGATGCCGACAAGTTCGCCGAGCAGTGTTCAGAGTGTTGGCGCCGTCATACAAACCCCGCACAAGAGCTGCTGCCATCAGAAATTGAAGGAGTGTGGCAGAAACTGGCGGTTGATCTGGTGTGTATCGAGGGTCAACAAGTATTATCCATCGTCGACTACGGTTCACGCTATCCGGAGCTACTTCCCTTGTCAGCTACCACAACCGCAGCTGTCATTGACCGGCTGATGGAAGTGTTCGCGAGGTTCGGCCTGCCTAGCGTGTTGGTGTCCGACAATGGCCCCCAGTTTGCCTCAGCCGAAATGGCCCAGTTCCTGCAGCGGTTGGGTATCCAGCACAATCGATCAAGCCCACGCTACCCCAGATCTAATGGCATGGTGGAACGTCTTCATCGAGTCGTCAAAGAGAGAATTCAATCTCTACGACCGTCCCTGTCTTTGCAACGCCGTTTGCAACAAGTTCTCTTTGATATTCGCAACTCAGTGCACCGAATGCTGGGCATGTCACCCAATGAGGCTTTCTTCGGTCGCATGGTTCGCACCCGTCTACCTCACCATTCTACCCCACGCATTGTGAATGCTTCTCATCAGATTCGCGCCAAAGCTGACATGGCAGTCTCGCATGATAGTCGCCGCGGTGTCCGCCAGTTGCCTATGCTGCGTCCTGGCACAATGGTAGTCTTGCAGGATGGCTATTCCGACCCAACTACCCCTTGGCGTGTTGTGGAGCAATATGGCAGACAAGTCGGCGTCACTGATGGCAGGCGGATACTGCTCCGAAATCGGCAGCATGTGCGAGAACATGCTTCACCTGCATCATCAACTGCCACCTCTTCTCGGTCTTTGGATCTCCAGCCAGTTCCGACGCCAGATCCCCAGCCAGCTACCGAGTCAGAAGTGAAATCCTCGGCACCTAATGCAGATGTGCCGCCTGCTACGCCTACTGCTCCGTGTGAAGCAGGAGTGGAATCTGAGATCAAAGAGGCTGATGCTCAGATTCATCCCGAGTCCAGTGACCAATCACGTCGTCAATCACGCCTACCACGGCCCGATGCCCAGTCTGGCTCGCTCTATCGCGAGGGCTATGTAACCCGCGCTGGCCGCACTGTCAAGCTCACTGAGAAAGCTGCTGGTGCATTGATGTAATATCTCCATTTTGACTGACCATGTTGCATAACTATGCCAATTTGCGATTTAGTTGCTGGTTTGGTTTGTTCTGTTTGTATCGTGGTACAGGTTTGATGTATCTTCAGTGAGTTGACCCGTCAGTGTCAGGGTGTATCGAATTTGTTGCTTTGAATTGATTCTTTGCTCGTTTCCTCTGCAATTTTCTCCTTTTTTTCTTTTTCCTTTTTTTCTCTCCTTTTTTTTTCTCAAACAGGTTTGCATTTGCAGACAATTTTTTTTTCTTAGGGAAGGGGGGTAATGTGGTAGTCATGCATTGTACATCACGGCTGTAGTACTGATGTGCACAGTCATGGTAACAGTGCATTGCGTAATGCTCTTGGCCATATGCTGCTGTTGAGCTGGTTTTACAGATGAAGAATCTGAGAGAGACAATGGCTAGTTGTCTATTCTTTCCGTGTGCTTAGTCTGGCTTCTTGCATGCCTACAATGTGTTCAACAGTTGTGGCCCACCTCTTTTGTGTTTTATTGTCGCCTGTTTATGTTGCTTCATATTTCATTTCCCCTGTCTTTCTGGCTTCTTCTCCGGTCTGTCTTCTTCCGTTTTTTATACACTTCACTTTTGCTTCCATCCACAGGAGTGGATGTCTTTTTTTGGTAGGGGATAGTGTTGTACCTGCGCCTGCACGTGTTATCTCTTCGTCGTAGCTGCTGCTGTATTTGTGTCTCTGTGTGTACATGTGGCTGCACGTGTTGTCTCTTCGTCGTAGCTGCTGCTGTATTTGTGTCTCTGTGCTGCTGACCCGTACATGCTGCTGCGCTGCTTTGTTGCTGACCCGTACATGCTGCTGCGCTGCTTTGTTGTTGACACGTGCACCTTTTTGTGCTGAGTACACCACCTTTTGTGCTGACGAGGGCACCAATTTCTGATATCATGTTTTCCTTTTGCCATGTCGTCGTCAGTTGTCCGACGTTCGTCGTCAGTTGTTAGACATTCGTTGTCAGAGTCAGACGTTCGTTGTCAGTCGTTCGTTGTCAGTGTTAGTTCTCCATTATGAGTTCTTCCGTCGCCGCTTGAAGTAAACTATGAAAAGCTCTCTCTCTAGCTCTAGAGAAAAACCACTGACTAGTTCGTTTTGAGGTGTGGCGTGGCGAGGATAGAAGAGGCAGTTCGTTCTCAACCTTCCGAGACGACATAAATACCGCGCGGGATTTATATTCAATATAAATACCGCGCGGGATTTATACTGGTCAATATAACCATGGCTAGACGAGCGCTGATTGGCTGAAAACAGGCCCTCCGCACCGTACCATGGTATAAGCCTTATGCACGTTGTACAGATGCACAGCCTCTATAAGCCTTATGCACGTTGTACAGATGCACAGCCTCTATAAGCCTAATGCACGTTGTACAGATGCACAGAATCCTGTAAAAACCTCGTAGAATCCCGTAGACCCGGCAGGCTGGGTGTTGAATGTGCAGGACCCTATTGTTTTTACTGCTATTTCCACTAAGAAATGGGCGCTGAAGGCATTTCTTACAAAAACTTTTTCTGACAAAGATGTAGCTAGTCATTAGTTCTAGCTAAAGCGAAGAAGCTGGAAAAGCGACTGTTTGCCATGAATTGTGAGGCTAAAATTGGTCAAATGCGCATGTATAGGCCACAATGAACACCCGACCGGGTCTGTACACACCTACGGTCCTAGTACAAAACTTTGTACATCTATACAACGTGCGTAAGGTCTTTACTCACAACTAGGTCACAAGTGACTCAGTGTTCGTTTTTCACACGGGTCCCCCACCTAACCGGTTCGCTGACCCAGCTGACTCAGCCGAGCCGGCCCTCGAGCAGATACTGATATGGGCATTAACGGATTGGACAGCAGACACTGATATGGGCATTAACGGATTGGACAGCAGACACTGATATGGGCGTTAACGGATTGGACAGCAGACACTGTGCTCACCTTCTTCTCTTTCATCAACACCCATGGGTCCTGGATTGCTTCCAGCATCGCCAAAGTGAAGCGGCTCGAGGGGATTGCCTTTGAAGTTCAGATCCGAGACGTACTGGTACAATGCAGGCTCTTCTGTTTCAGTGGAATACAGCAACATACAGCAACATACAGTAACATAAAGCAACATACAGTCAACTTACCAACAAATAGCCAGCCACCAATACTTCTGCTGGTACACCTACTTACGTCAATTGAAGTTAGAATATGTACAGTAGAGATAACACTATACTGAGCCCCACATCCATTCTCTACACTCGACCCAGGACGTCGTTGTACAAAGACCACAACCACTAACCAAAGTTCCAACTACTAGTAACAGCAACCCCGCTGCACAACAGGAAAAGTGTGTCGGGCTGACGTTGCTGACTTACCCAAACCAAAGGAAGATGAAAGGCAGTCTGCAGCACAAGCACAGAGAGAGAGCAGCATATGTGGGTGTGGCAGCGATCTCCATCAGCAAAATCCAAAAAAGCAATTATCAAGCACATTTGAGCATAGAAATCAATGCTGGGTAACAGGAAGCTGAATACAGTCATGAGCAACCAATGATGTACAAAGTGGTAGACTTCGTTTGTACTCAAGTTCTTTTTAATCTTTCAGGTGCAAATGGGAAGAGCTGCGAAGCATGATATTATCATGCTTCGCAGCTCTTCCCATTTATGATAATACTAAGCACATGCAGGCACATGTATAAGACAGATCGGTGAATACAATCATGTCATTGTATGGTGAAAGCTGAAGTTTGAGGGACTTCAATGTCCACATGGAACCAGGGAGTTGTAAAGTAATTTGCTGAAGTAATATGACTTCCTGCATGGATCCAGCATCATCTTGCGTGCGTGTCACACAACAACACAGTCCTATGCGATACACATAGCCCATCGTCGCCACTTTACCTTTAAGTTTCTTGTGCTTGTTTGGAACTGACTTCAGTGGACTTTCTTCAAGAACTCCCTGTCAAAGGAAAACAGAGGGCAAGAATATTGAGTCTAATACTAGCTACCGTACTGGTATTCACACTACTGATTTCACCACACTACAAACTGGAAACACATTGCCAACACAAGGGTCAACACAATCAACAAACTGTAGCCCGGTGCTAGCTGTTGTCACCTTTGAGGATTGGAGACCACCAGGTCGGATGGCAACAGACCCATCATCTCCACGGAATGGAAGCTCGCCGTACTCAAACAGATCATTTGGGTCATCCTCTTCAAAACAGAAACAAAAAGCAGAAAAGAAATTCATTAATTCAACACGTCTATCCCTACATACCATGCTACAACCTCATCTTGCTCACTATTTATCAACCTCATCTTGCTCACTATTTTCCTTTCACATGTACACACAAGCTCACAGCCTCATCCGTTGGAGGTATGTTCTCCTGTTAGTCAGAGATGGACCAACAAATTATATTTACGTGCCTGCATTCATTTGAGAAGGAGGAGTGGCATGAAGACCTACAGTAAAGCTCTTCCTATTCGGGCACTTTGGGGCTCGACACTGCACGTAACTAGCAATTGCGCGTGAATCGGAACATACAATCATACACCTTGCATGCAAGTAATGACTTTCATGCCAATCGTTTTTTGGTGCCATTTGTCGTTTAAAAGAATTTGTATGACTTGATAGGGGCCAGAAAGGTGCCTAGTAGACGGGAGAACCCGGATCTGGGGAGCATTACTGTACTTATCGGCATCATGCAATCAAGCACAACTCTAGGACTCTCCACTACAGTCAGATCTCGCTTATCTGGTTCCCCTTCATCTGGGCCCCTCGACATCCAGAAGAAATCATCGGTTACCAATTTACAGCATACGTTACGCATACAACTTAACCGGACCCCAGGATCCCCATACCGGTTCATGGTTCCGTGTACAAACTGGTTCTAATGCATAGAAAAAGCTTCGTCGTAGCCGGTTGCAACTGGCTTGCAGAAGCTAAAATCAGGAGTTTCACAAACAAAAAGGGGTCGGTATGACCAGCTAGCTGCACGCGGACAGCATTCGCTTGTTTTACACAGTGTGCATGCTAGCTGTAATGCATGGGACCCATACACATGTGCGTACAATTTCACACCTTTTCATGTGCCTCATGCCACGATATACAGTATGTAATTTCGGCTATCTGGTTCCCTCGCCCTCGTCCGCATATTTCGTGGAAAACGAATGTGTGCGGTTGAGCAAGGTCTGACTGTAGTACTGTAAAGTCATGGCTACATATAGAGCTGTAGTCATGGCTACATATAGAGCTGTAGTCATGGCTACATATAGAGCTGTATTCATGGCTACATATAGAGCTGTATTCATGGCTACATATAGAGCTGTATTCATGGCTACCACATCCAGTGTTTGCTAGTAGAAGTATATTGGGATTTCTCTCACACTGATAGCGTGTTCTTCGATTGCCGATAAAATGATTTCACATCAGCATGATTTAGAAACAAATACACATTGGAAGTACCGTAAAGTACCGTTGATCCCCCCCCCCCCCACGCCATGTCGCTATCCAGCTGGGGTTTCGGCAGGGGGCGGGAATTAGATCAAGGCTGTGAAGTGCAGTACGATGTACAACAACGTGGAGGATCAGACTCGATGTGCTGAAATGTGCACATTTTCATCCTGGATTGGCACGTATTGTGTACAGCAGTGCATGCGTCGGTTCAACATCGTACTTCGTTGTATACGCCGAAGTCGCTTCACAGGTAGAAAATTGACAGGGGCGGGAATTGGAGAGGGGGCGGATCAACGGTACTTTACGGTATGACAGTCCCCCACCCCCAGAGGGGAGGGTGGATTTCACACTGGTGTGTGCCTTTCACGCTAAAATGTTTGCATTTGAATCTTTGTATTATTTAAAGGTGCCACCAGTATTGGTGGGTCTGTGTTCTCTCAATATATCATCATTATCATGCCGCACACTTGCTGACTGCAGACAGCAAGTATGCGGCATGATATGAGTATTGTGACTTTGCACAGTATGGTAGTGAGTATGCAATGAAGATGTCAGTGACTGCTCATCTACTCGGCGGCACTACACTCTCATCTACTTGGCGGCACTACACTCGACAGCTCACCTGTAGTAGCTTGCACAGTATTCTGATAGAAGTGTGCTGGCTGATCATGATAGAAGTGTGCTGGCTGATCATGTGCTGGCTGATCATGCGGCAACGGGGCAGCAGCAGCACCAGCACCGCCACCACTGCCAGCACTTGAGGGATGTGTTATATTCATGTACTGTTGTCTAGCCTGGCCGCCAGGCACTGGTGAACTCAGCAATGACTGCACCTTAAAGCCACCAGGCTGCTGGTCACCTTTCAGCGAGATCACAACCCGGTCCAGGGTATCTGCACGCCGGCTGCTGTTGTTGTCCCTGTCTGACGACGTGTCACTGCATATCGTACTCAGGGCTGAGTTACTAGTCAGCTCGTCCTCGTCCTCGGAGCACTCATCCACGGCTGGCTGCGCTCCCTGACGTGCCCGGTGTCGCTGCAGCAGTGTCGTGAACTCCTGATCAATGCTCTTCTCACTGGCCGAGATACTAGCATGGCGTGGCGGTGGATGGCCGGGAGTGAACGTATCGGTATCACCCCATTCACCATCGTTGGTCAAAGTACCGCTCTCGCAAACATTGTTCTGATCCGGTGATGAATCGTGCGGACTGAACATAGCATCTTTGTCTAGACTTGATGTCTTGATGCGTTCCATCAATGGTGGTGGTGGAGTGTTACCCCACGAATCCATAGACTGAGGTCGAGTCGGCTGTAGTTTTGAACCCACTGACTTGTTGCGAAGATTCACTTCACTATAGCTATGGTCAATCCTGGGCTTGACAACCTCCATCTCAGCAATATCGGACACATCTTGCTTATCAATGTCAGCCGTTTTCCCCGCTACTTGTGATGGCTTAGAGGCTGTCACTGGTTTGGGAAGGCGACATGGCCCTTGTAAAGGTGCAGCTGGTGGGCCATGTGGCAGCTTTCGCTTAGGTTTTGGACTTGGCTTAGGCTCTTTTGCAGGTGATTGGCTTCTGACAGGCACAAGTCGTGGCTTTACCAGTGGTCCGTCAGCTATTTTCTTGACCGGAGCAGTGGCAGTTCGCTGTGCGTCCTCACCCACCATAGAATACGTTCCTTGAGGATCATTGTCGACGGAAAGGTTAGCCATCACAACCTCTGTCTCCAGGACGGTATTCTCGGACACACAGTAGAACAATGGATCATTCGGACGCATCTGCTTGCGCTCTTTGCCAATGGCCGGTGGGGACTGTGCTGATTCTCCTCTGGTGGCATAGGAATAATCTTCTGATGGTATCGGTGGCAGCGGTTTGGCCGCCATCAAAGTCAAAGCAGGAGCAGGAGCTGAGCTGTACGCCTCTTCACCGACAGCACTGTATACAGAATCGTCCTCATCCTCTTCCCACTCGTCAGCTGATACATCAGAGTACACATCAGCATCACCACCATCACAGTCACCCGCTGGGGACGTCATAGCGTCTGAGACCGACTTTCCGGGCAAGTACTGGCGAAGGAATGCAGATGCGGCTGCTATGGCTGCTCCTGGCTTTTTGGAACGATTGCTGATGAGAAAAACGAACAAACACAATAACACATGCAGTCAGTGCTATGCTGAATATGAAAAGCAAGACCACCGAGAGTCAGAACAAGGAGTATTGAGCTTACAAATAGCGTGCAGCCTCCTGCCAGCAGTGTGTGGGTAGCAAAGCATAGGATCAGTTACACCAAAGTTCTGGTTGTACAAGTACTCCTTAGATATCTGATATATCTGAGTCACGGACAGTCATTGGCAGCAGTAGCAGCATCTGTATTGTACTATCATACCTCACGCTGCCTGGAACTTCTTGGCCTTTGAGCAATCTACCAGCTGCAGTGCATGAAAACAATACGCACATCAAGATGATACAAGCAGTCGTGGCCAGTGTCAGCAGAACTCCCAGCTAATACAGCAATTACCACATAATTACGATGAATCCAGCAGAAAATTTTCAAATTTAACTTAAACAAATATATTGGGGTGCCGGAGACAGCCACGGTGTCCAAACTCTCGAGCACCCAAATCCTCATCCCGCCGTAGTGCTAGCTTTCATTTAACTTCATATAGTGGGTATCAGGTACAAATGATAAAAGGTCCTTCCTCAAGGGATACAACATCGCTCAAACTTTAGAAAAGTTCTGACACAGCAGACATAGCATGTTGTAGCTCAGCATGCCCTGAATTACAACTGGTCAACACACCCCAGGCCCGGCGGAACCTGAATTACAACTGGTCAACACACCCCAGGCCCGGCGGAACCTGTCCGGCCGGTCTGGCCATGGCCAGACCAACTTTTTGGCGGGCGATATCTTTTTCTCTGGAAACATCACATCGAAAGTGAAGAACGATCGATCGACTGATAGCTGAGTCTGAGTTAACATACGTCAGAGAGTGTTTGGAGGTGTTTGAGAGTGTTTGGAACTGTTCTGAGGAGTGTTTGGGAAGTTGTTGCTAGTAATCATGGTCTGTTCCGCCGAAGTCGCCGTGCCAGCAGTGGCTGTCCAGCCAGACTCGTCGTTCAATTTTCCCCAGCGTGCTTGATTGTTTTTTGCTTGATTTACATGTATGCTCAGCTCAACACATATCAAAACACGTTTGTTATGGGAGTAGTGTATTGACTAACAAAGTGTGTACCATGATCACATGATCACATGATCACTTTATGCATGGCCGGATCAATCATTATCTGCTTCCGCCGGGCCTGCCTGCACCCACATGCCAAGATAGATGCAACTAACTTACCCATATTCCTAAACCTAGCCATATTGCCAGGGGTACTGTTGCCAGTGATAGTGTTGGTTGGTACCAGCTGAGGTGGGGGCGTTTCCACATCCTCCCACGCATCCTCATCTATTGCACGCTCTTTCTTCAAAGGATATGGAGCTCTTGGCAGTGACGCGCCCTCCACGGCTTCATAGACACAAGAGGTATTTTCCTGCACAGCTGCAACTCCTGCAGCTCCTGATGCAGTAGCCGTTACCAGACTTTCGCTGCTACTGGTGTTTCGTAACCCCCCAGAGCACAGGTCATCACTGGGAGTTGCCGAGGATGCAGACGATTCACTACCATTGGCTGCTAGCTGCTGTCCAATGCTGGCTCCTGCTAGTTCATACACAATGGGTGCAGCGTGATGCTGATGCTGATGCTTAGCACCATTGTCACTAGCTGTTGTGCGAGGCTTAGTTTGCATAGTCACTCTCGGCGCCCTTCTCACACTTCGCTTTCTCACCGGCCGCTTCTTTATAGCCATATCAGTAGATAGGATGTGGGCAGCTGCAGCCATGACCTCTTCCGGTCTGAGCGGTGGTTGACCAACGCCAGCACCTTCATTGCTCACGCTGTAGTTCCTATGGGCACCATCAAATGACGTCGCTATGGCTATGCTCGGCTGGCTTGTCGTGGACATGGGTGGCCGTGGCTTAGGCACAGGCAAAGGTTTCTTAGGTGGGCCACCTGCACCAGCGGGCCGTCGATGAACGGGCGATGTAACACCGCTCGCAGCTTCTAATGTGTTCTGCGGACTGTTCTTGGGACTCGGACGTAGTCCAGTACGTCTTGGCTTGGATCTTTTCATAGACACAACAACTTGATTGTTGGCATTGACACGGGGCTTGTCCCTTGGTTTTGGCATAGGTGGTGGCTTTGGTCTAGCAGTCCTGTTGACTGGTGGACACTGTTGACTGTCAGTTAGTGTAGGTCTTTTCTGAGCCGCTGGAGATTCGGAACCCGGAGATGGTGTAGAACTTTTAGCAGAGCTTGCTGGACTTGCACAGACTGCATGTCGATTTGCCTCGCTAGCTACACTGGAAGACGTTGGTGGACTGCTTCGTCCCTTTGTGAGTGGTGGACATGCATTCGGCTGCGGCTGGGTACTTGGTGCAGTGGGTAAGCCAGCAGCAGCAGCAGCTGGTTTCTTGGGAACAACGTGTGTGTTCAGTTGCTGAACAAGTCGTCCTACATTACCACGTGTTGGCGCTGGACTGCTGGGGCCAGCAGCCATGGCACTCACGTGTGACATTTGTGAGCGCTGAGTGAGCATGCTCTGATCACCTGGACACACACACAAACACACACACACACAAAAGCACACACACATACGTGCACACACACACACACACACACACACACACACACATACACACATGCACACACACACACACACACACATACACGCGCGCGCGCGCGCACACACACACACACACGCACACACATACACACACACACGCACACACACACGCACGCACACACACGCACGCACACACACACACACACACACACACACACACACACACACACACATTGGAAAAGTTCTGCCAATTATTCCTTGAGCAAAATCACAGTGTTCTGTATTGAGCTGCCCCATACCTTCTCCTTTTGTTGTGAAAAATTCACACAAGTTGCAACTTTCTCTAGGACCTGCAGTACTGTAGTGTGGGGCTGTAGCATGGATTTCAGGGCAACTTCTCAGAATGGCTCAGTCACAATTTGATTCCCTAAGACTTCATCAATGGATACCATCCACTGTTGAATGAGCCGTCAAAACAAAAAAATACCATACTGACTTTGCAATGCATGAAAGGTGCAACTAAGATCAGACGTAGCAGATTTAGCCGCAGAAAGTACTAGCCAATCCCTACCAATCCCATTGAAGGAAATCTGCTGACTGCCCAAGTCACTACCCACAGCTCAATAGTATGACAGGTCATACACACCTCATCAAAAATTCACCCATAACTGTTTCTCTGTCCATGTTTTGTCCTTTCTAGGCAAGGAAACAGTACATTACAGTGTCATCATTCCTGAGCCATAGTCGCTAAGTGCTAGCGCCACCATCGGCAAACAAGTTAGTTCAATTTCAAAAGGAACAGCACATGCCTTGTCAGGACACTTTGCCCTAATTTGCATGGAGTTAACAATGCACACACACACACACATACCCTGCAGGCCTACATGTAGCAGCCCCACATCACCTCAGCATCAAGATCAAGTCCTGATCTGCAGACAGCTATATATGGCAATACTGCAGGAGATGATGGCTCAGCCTATATGTACATGGTCAACACAGTGCAGCAGGCAGTACCTTTCCACGGCAATTGTACCCACAGTACCCATAGAGCAGTACAAGTGAGCCACTTCACCCTGATAGCCCTCTTAGTAGTCCTACACATTCGGGTGTGGCGGTGGCGTTAGCCTCAATACAAAGTAAACACAAAATACTACACCTGCCACACAGTACTCAGTAGAGCTAGAAACCAAACTCCCTCACTACCGTATGTTCATTACGTTGTTACTTAACACTATGGTAAGATAGCAAGACTCTCCAGTCTTGTTGGCACTGGTAGGGATTACAGTCGGGGAGATATCACCACACCCTGGCATACAGGATCAACTTGGTCAGTCTTGTAACTTGTCAGTTACCAAGTATTAGTAGCTCATCATGTCCCAGTCGTGACCTGATCACCCACTGATATCGATCAAATCGCCCAAGATTCTTGAACTACTGTAAAAGCCCGTATAAACGCCCACCTAGTATAATGCCTGCTCCCTGTGTACACGCCCAGGTGCCTATTGTCAACACTCTTGTCCCGTTCCCTGTGTACACGCCCAGGTGCCCACCCATGGGTGAAATCACAGGCCCAGCACACAGTGCAGTACATGCAAAACTCCACTTGCATGTCCAATACGGTACACTGTGCTTACCCTGTACGTAGGACACCGACAGCACGTTGATGTGAAAATCAGTCTGATCTCACTGTTTCGAAATAACGCCCGGGCCCACATTAGCGCCCATGTTCTGGACCTTCACGAATGTTTCCGCCCAGAGCCCTATTATGGGCTTTCACGGTACGCAGACCTTTCTTACAGAAAAAGAGAACAGCTAGTGGTAGCATAAACCAAGCGCAACCTGATGAACACTCCACTGAATCATCCAGTACCTAACAGTGCATGGAAGCAAAGTCCCTGAGAACAGACAAACATGCCTACAAGTTTAGAGCAAAGTCCGCAAGTTTATAGCACAGTCCGGATGTTATCAGGTGATCTGGGTAAAACTATGGTCCATCTGACACTGCTATTATCGGTAGTTCTAGATTTTCCTGTTAAACAGGCTTCAAGCATACTTCGAGTACACATGTACAAACATACACACATACACATAAACACCAGTTCACAATGGCAGGACACTTTGTTTCGGTGTAACTCTGAGTTTCATGGCAATTTGACCCATCATCAGACAAATAGTCAACGGCAACTCTGCTTTGTGCATATAGACAAAACACAAAACATTGTACTTGTACCAAGAGTACATAAACAAGAGTGTGCAGCTCCGATTGGGTTGGCCCACTGCGGAATTTTTCAGTTGACATCAGTTGACGCCATCTTTCGGGAAATCATGACTCATACCATACGAGGCATGCACTGCATGTCTGAACTCAGCAGCACTGCATGTCTGAACTCAGCAGCACTGCATGTCTGAACTCAGTAGCACTGCATGTCTGAACTCAGCAGCACTGCATGTCTGAACTCAGCAGCACTGCATGTCTGAACTCAGCAGGGTTTCACTAAAACTTTCACTATGAGTACGGTACCTGAACTCCTATGGTGAGCCAATGTAATCATGGATTTATAAACAGAAGACAAGGACAGACTGTTACGAGTTATGACTAACTGTCCATCAAAGTAACCAGATACTATACAGTCAGCGAGTGCGACAACAATACTCAGTATTCCCTGTAAGGTTTGTGCCTTGTTGTCGCACTCGATGACTGCATAATATCTGGTATATAGCAGTACTCAGGGTCAGTACCAATTTTCGTCTGATGATCGACTTAGTCTCAGAGTTACGAAATCGCAACTGCTCGTTCTTCTGTCTGTGTAGTATGTGGGTACTTTGGTGGACTGAGTTAGTCATAACTCGTAACATTTTGTTCTTATCATTCTCATTCCCAACTATAATCATTGGTGAACTCGGATGGTGAGCCAATGTAATCAATGATAAGAAGGTGAAGTACAAAAATGGTTGAATGTCTCAGTACTCCCTGTCAGTTGTGTGCCTTTTTGTCGCACTCGATAACTGTATGTGATCTGATTCTGTTGGTGGAGAGCTAGTCATAACTCGTACCATTTCGTCCTTCTCCTTTTATCCATGATCATTGGTGCTCACTATAATAATAATTTCCACATAACTTGTGTTCAATGAATTTTAGAATTGCTGCTACGGTGGTTGCTATGGGCGCTGCGCTCGTTCTCATTGCTCATCGGTTTCCGAAATATATAATCATATCTGGACTAACCAACCTGCACTGCACCTGCATGCCCATCTTCATAGCATTCTGATAATGTTTACTGTTGCTATGCATTTACTAGGCTTTCCGGGGAGCCCTGTTGATGCCACACTGCGGCCTGCATGCTATGTTGATGCCACAGCCTGCATGCTATGTTGATGCCACAGCCTGCATGCTATGTTGATGCCACACTGCGGCAGCCTGCATGCTATGTTGATGCCACACTGCGGCAGCCTGCATGCTATGTTGATACCACAGCCTGCATGCTATGTTGATACCACAGCCTGCATGCTATGTTGATACCACACTGCCACAGCCTGCATGCTATTCCACATACAGTCCTGCACATTCTCACTAAGGTCGCCATATGATTTTGGCGCTATGTATCTCTCATGTCCACACACACACCAACACACACACACACACACTCACACACACACACACACACACACACACACACACACACACACACACACACACACATACACACCAACTCACCCATCTACCTGTCCCTTCACGGTCTCACTCTGTACGCCATCGTAACCCCACCCCTCTGTGATGTGGTGGCTTCCTTACTTGCTAGGTTGATTTTATATCCCTGAAGATTTCCCTTCCAAACGTGTCTGTGTTATCTCAGTTGCTGCAGTCTTTTGGAAACACACATATTGTCTGGTTTACTAGTACATGCATGGAAAGAAGAGCAGTGAACTCCCTACGTATACCACATACGTACTGAGTCTGTGCCTTGACCACAGTCAGGTCACCAAATGTCTATCATACTTCATCAGGGGCGTCGGAAGGTATTTTAGTGTGGTGCGGTCAGCCATCTGAAGTACAATTTACTCGTGGGGGAGGGGTTGCTGAGCCGAAAATCTTGGAAATTTAGAGCCCAAATCAGTGCATTTTTATTGATTCACAGGGTGCTTGGGGCAAATAGTGGTACGGTCAATACCGCAGTGACCGTACCGTGTCCCACGCCCCTGTACATGTATCACCAACAGGGAGGGGTTAAGGTTGTGTGATGTGTCTGCAGTGCATGCGTCAACATCTTTCACAGCCAGTGACATTTGCATCCCCTGGATCTGGCCTTCTCTACATCATGTAGATCTAGTAATAGTACTAATACTAGGAAGCAAAGCCCAGGCCACATGGCATGGCACATGGCACGCAACAAAAATGAACAGTTGGAGGCCATTTGAAAACTCAGAACAACAGCCTACACAGACAGTTAGCTGCACTTCAGTCATCATGGTCGTATACAGTCAGTTACAGTCATTATACAGTCAGTGTAGTACTAGGTACCCCGTAGCGCACTTCAGTCATAATTATACAGTCTGTGTAGTAGGTACCCCGGAGCGACGAGGATTGTGTTCTGTGCGACATCACAAAACATTCTCTGAGCCTACAAATAGTACAATACTCAATAGCACTACTCACTAGGCTACAGTACAGTATCAAGTCAGCGAGGAGTTATCTGATACCGGTTCACAAACCGAGCACGTCCGGGTATCTAGCGAGCACGTCCGGATATCTAGCGGCACATTCTCGTGCCAAAACACAGCACTCCAGCTTTCCGCACTATGCAATTTGTTCGTTTCTCCAAGATAACAGAAACCGACCTAGCTAGCTGAGTTTCATTAGGAACGAGACGTAACCACAACTAATCATATTACCCTGGAACACATCACGCCTTGCTCACCCGTATTTCCTTGCGGCGTCGTTGACATTTTCTGTTTTACAGCAGCGACTGACAACGTTCCCTAGGCCCTGTGCCCCAAAGTAGCCAGCGAGAATGGGTTGTCAGGTGCACTAGAAGTCGTTTGGCAAGCGCCAGACATCACTCTCAACGCCTCCAACCAGCTCCTGGACATTGCTGAACACAGTTACTTTATTTGAGTGATCACTACCCACTAGCTTCACCTATCTCCACAATGACCGCACCGTTACTCCTAGCACTAGTACTCCTAGTGCTAGTAGTAGATCTACTCCTACTACTCCTAGTGACCCACACCACAGCACTGCCACTCTGCACTACCTTTTGAACGGATCAGCACGCACCCACGATCTCACGGCAACGACTCTGGCGCGCAAGATGACAACAGCCTCCATTTCGGCGCAGGCTACACCAACGCTAGACTGGGCAAGCGGAAAGGGATAAGCAGTCGCATCCGCAGTCAGGCCAACTGAGATGTTACCAACACTAGTAGCAGCAGCAGCGCTAGCGGCATGCTAGTAGCAGTAAAAGAAGTGGATCACAAGCGGTTTGAGAGTGCCACGAGCACAGACTCGACACATGAGCAGCAAAACTGCAACAAAACTCATACCATATCAGTAGAAGTGGTCGACAGTCGCCACAAGCTTCTACGACAGCCAGTTACCAACACGTGGAAGAAAGTGACAGAAACATACCCTGCTTCCAAAACTGATCATTCTTGGCAGTCAAGCACGAGAGTTGGCCCACGATACCAGCAATTGCTGTAGCCTAGATTTCAACAATTATGTACTACACGTCTGGCTGAAACATTCCGAGAGGTTGCCCACACTGTTTCGTCCTGATCCCCACGACGGCACGAGTTTCTCGTATCCTGAAATAAACGGTCGTAAGACTGTTCGACCATGTACTGCTGTAGGCTGTACGCAGGCAGAGTGTTCCACATCTTATCTACCAGAACAAAACATGCGTCACTCACCTCATCATGTAGACTCTCTCTCTCTCTCTCCAAATAATTCAGCTTACACCATCAACCAAGCAAACTATATAGCATATCGGAGAGCGATGCTCACAGCTGCAACAACAAAGATTGCTGAAGAAGGTTGCAGAAACGAGGAGGCCAAGACAACTCAAGAACAGCTGTTTGTTATCGACACTACCACTAGTGCACTGCTTGCATGCATGCCTCGGAACACATCAAAAATTTGCTTCACCGCACCTTCACTGACAACAACATACAGACAGGAGTCGATACACACACATCGTCATCGGGCATCATCATCATGCCATGGTTCTCGTAGTATCATGTAGTACAGTACTGTCAGTAGAATACTACTGTAGACTACTAACTAAGTACTAGTAGTACAGTAGTAGTAGACAGTAGACCATGGTAGACCATGGCATGGTAGACTGGCGTCATGGTTATGACCCAAGTACATGTACGAGGATGCTACCTCCCGAGTCCCGAATATCATCCCGACTGCGTAGCAAGAGGGATGATATATTATGAGGGTACGGTAACACACGAGTACGCGAGTCAATATCCTACTTATCCCAGGCACATGTACTTATTTCCCGGTCAGCAAGGCTGCTGATTGGCTGAAATAGGTATTTCGTACCGTACCATGGGATGACATGGTTATGTAGACCATTGCCATTGGTAGACTGTAGACTGTAGCGTTGAGTGTACCATAGGCATAGGAACCTTATGGCAGACACTTCCACTGCTTTGTTTCTGTATCCACATACCAAACAGCCACTACTATACTACTAGTAAGTAGTATTGTATCTCATGTCACTAGTGATGGTGCCATGGCATGCAGGCAGTGAGTCCCAGGTAGGTCTACGTACACGTGTATCTCCCTAGCCCTGTCACGTGTCTGCTCATAACCCCTCCCACACGGACACGCCCCATCGTCTCCACTGCCACTGAGGGAGCCAGGGAGCCAATGTCACGGTCTCTCCCTAATCCCTATCTTCTCAATTTTTGCAGGGAACTTCAAGATCCCAAATCGGAAAGCACCAGGGCTAGACGGTATCACGAACAATATGATATTGATAAAGAAGCTACATGTACATGTAGCTCCTGCGATTTCTTTTCCACTTAGCCGCCTATTCAACCTCTCCTTTACCACAGGCAAGTTCCCTACCGATTGGAAACTGGCCAAAATTGTGCCTATTTACAAGTGCAAAGGCAGCAAGTCCCAAGCTAGTAACTATCGCCCAATTTCCCTCCTGTCGTGTAGTTCCAAACTTTGCGAACGGCTCTTCTTCAATCAATTATATAATCATATTTCTCCTGCTCTGAATCCCGCGCAATCTGGGTTTCGTCGTGGCGACTCGACCGCTCTACAGCTTACCAAGCTGATCCAAGACATTGCCGACCATCGTCATATGGGGCGGAAAGTTGCCAAGTGCTTTTTCGACCTCGAGAAAGCTTTCGACACCGTGTGGCACCTTGCTAAACTTTCCAAAGTTTTCGGTGTGTGTGGCGCAGCGCTGGAGTGGATTACAGACTACCTATCCGGTAGAACGCAAGTTGTCTTTGTAGCTGGACTTCTCTCAGATGCTTCACCTGTTCTGTCCAGAGGGCCCCAGGGATCCATCCTAGGGCCTCTCCTTTTCCTAGTATATTATTAATGGTCTTCCCTGTCATGTTGAAGGTGTGTCCTTATTTGCTGACGATGCTGCACTGCTCCGGTTCAATGAGAGTCTAGACAGGCTGCGAGACAGTCTCCAGCGCGGTATCAACGAAGTCCATCAGTGGATGATTACCTGGAGGCTAAGACCTAATATCGCCGAGACTGAGATAATATTCCTGCCGAACTCAGAGCCAACCCCTGCATTCACTCTTCCCGGATCTCTCACAAACCTCACAGTAGTAAAGCAACACAAGCATCTTGGTTTGGTCATTGACTCAGACTTATCGTTTAGTAGACATGTCGACTATATCTGTAGCACGGTCAGTAAAGCTGTTGGCTACCTCGTGTCTCACTGCTCCCACCAACCGCATGAATGCATTCGCCTTTTTATCATTGCTATATTCTCCCCATTTTTCTCTATTGCTCAACCGCCTGGTCATCCCTATTAAGTAAATCGTTAATGTATACCCTAGAAGTCCACAATAAGAGGATACTGAAAGTCCTTTTCCGCAAACCACCATACTTTCCTTCTGCTGAGCTGTATGATATGTTTAACTTTAACACCTTCCCCATCTCTAGTCAAGCGGATCGAAAGCTGTGTATTGTTGTTCATTCTATTCGTCTTGACAAAGCCCCGCCACACTTGCACTTGCACACTTCCCACTCTTCCTACACGCAATCCCTGCACTTTGCCTAAAGCCCGAACATCGGCTTATACCATATCTCCATTTTTCGCTGCCTATTCTCTCTGGCTGGCCCTGCCTCTATCAGTAAAATCGTCTTGTACGCTAAATGATTTCAAGGCCAACATGAAGCTTGTGTTCTAATAACTGCTAATTCTTCATCCAGATTTGTTTCTCTTTGCCTCCCCCTGTGTAGGTTATTGCCTACAGTAATTTGTAATATTTATTTATTTCGTTTTTGCATTGTTTTTGCTTACTGCTATGGCTGGCTATCGCCCCCCCCCCCCTCCCTCCTTATTGGCATAATTCCCTGGCCACCGGAAGGTGGTATAATAAATAATAATAATAATAATAATAATAACTGGTTTGAGGGAAAGAGACAAACGGGAAAAGTCTGAAGAAAAAATTGACTGTCACCACCAGGACTCGAACCAGGGACCCTCGCTTGTAGCCAGCGATGCTCTAACCACTGAGCTATGGTGTAGTCGTCATCCCAGCAGAGGCCGTTTAACATTTTCTTCAGACTTCGTAATAATAATAATAATAATAAAACAGGTCGCGTAATGAAGCAGCATAACGAAAGATGTGCAAAGTCATGATGCCTGGTCCGCTTCTGTCCTGGGTTCACTACCCCGCGCGTTGCAGCCGCGAGCAAAACCAGCTCAGGCTGAGAGTTCCCTCCATGATTGCTTGTCCAAATAAAAGCGCGCATTCTGAGCCCACTCAGATCAGGCATGGTCTTCAGTGGCATGTCGCCGGCAGCTGTGCTTGCCTTGACTGCCGTGGTCAGGTTCGATTTCGGGCTTCCACGCACACCAGTGCTAGTGACATCTCGACGGAAGCAGTTGTCCACCGCCTGCTGTGGTGGGGCATCTGAGGGCATCCTCAGAACATGACCCAACATCCGGAAACGGCGGACAGCAACGGTGTGCGAAAGAAGTGGCTGTGTGTGTGCTCTGGGATATACATGTAGGTCTTTGTTGGAGATGATGGCGGGATACCTAATTCCGAACAAGTTCCGTAGTTGACGTCTATGAAGGCGTTCAGCTTCTCCAGTGCAGCCCGTCTGTCAGTCCCCAGGTTTCGCAGTTGTATAACAGTGTTGGTAGGACGATGGCATTGTAGAGACGAAGCCTGGTTTCCTCGGATACAAGTTGACGTCGTATCCAGAGCGAATACATGCGGCCATACGATGTTGATGGAAGGCTTAAGGTGGTATGTATCATGTACATGTATGTATGTATGTATGTATAACTCATAATCACAAGGTGATCGTAGAGGCATTAATCAGCGAGAGAATTGTGAATGATGTCTCTGAATCCAACTCTATCGTGTGCTGCATGAGAGAGAGCATGCAAGGGAAGACCCGTCCAACTTTTAATGTTAGAAATCCATGATGTTGCGGGCCTTCCTCTCGGTCGAGATACAGGAGTTGATCCTTGCAGGAAGGGCTTTGAGAAAACGTCATGTCTCGTAACATGGCCAAACCACATCAACTTAAAGGTGGTATAACTATAAATAAAATAAAATAAATCACCTACCGGCGGTAATAACAATATCCGTACATCAGATATCACTCTACATGCTTGTGTTAGCAACAATGAAAAGTCGGATGAAGGTTCAACCGCACCGTGCTGCACCATACTATCCGGATATCCGAGATAAGCCGCTCATCCACGATACGGCGGGGGGGGGGGGGAAATAGCCCCACAGTTGACGCTGAAGATCAACTAGTGAATGGCAAACTTTCAACAAAATTAATGATGAGCTACATGTACATGTACATGTAAGTCCTGGATGCTGTTTCCTACAGAATTATCACACTCTCCATTGAAGTCAAAGTCAGATTTCTCAAACCATTTTCTCTTCGTCGTGTTGGATAGTGCAGTAAAGCATCCTTGATCGAAGGACCATCTCCCCCCCCCCCCCCCCAA